CAAATATACGACTCCGACATGGTTACGGGACACCGGCGTGACTCGCCCTTGAAAAGATCATAAACGGACCCGCTCATCACACACTCCATCATCTCTACTTTACGGTCAACTATGGTTAGGTACGCATTATCGTATATACTTTTCTCGTAGTAATACCCTAATACCTCTTCCCCTCACGCTCAGTACCACTGTGAGAACACAGTGAGTGCGCGAACTTACTCGCTACCGTCAACAGGATCACGTCATCCAATCTCGTAGGGCTATAACGGCTTAATATACTAGGCGAGTCACAAGCATTTCTTTTGACTTTGTTCCTTATACCTAACGTTAGTGTTTTCCTAAACAGGCATTTGCTCAAGCGACTTTCTCGCCATATTTTCAACGTTGTCCTCAATAGGAATATGTTTTTGGGGCAGCCAGCGTCCTAACAGGTATATAAGGTGATTGATTTCATTTCTGATCCCTCAGTCGCACTTTCCCTTCTTCCCTTGGCTGTTGACCTTGTCTATACCAGCTCATTTTCTCATTCCCCCTTGCTACTATGTCGCGCGCCGAGAGCACCACACCGGACACCGAGAACCAACAGGACGACAGCGGCAACGTCGGAGACATGCAGAATAAGCATTGGGAACCTTTTGCAACAAACTTGTGCGACCAACCGTCCGCACAGGCAGCATCTGTGCAGGCTCGCCAGAGACGTAGAATCGCCCAGTTGGAGGAGAAGCTAGAGGCCCTCGAGTCGGGGCGTGCGGTCAAAGAGAAGTACGACCTCGCGCTAATTCATCATTCCGAGTCGCTTTACTGACTACATGTTAGGCAAGCAAACTATTACACATCTCAAGGAAGGGCAATCAGGCGTGTTGTCGTTCTATTCGATAACGTCGAGGACCTCGTTGCTGAAAACGATCGAAGATATGAAGATGAAAATGAAGATCATACTATCGAGTAAATTTTCAGACTTCGAGTTATTTTGTGAGCGCTAACCATAGGCTTGATCATGTAGCCAAGATCGGCTACAGGCAGGGTATGTCACCCTCTCAACTACCTTACCGTGGTTGTTCAGGAAGGGGGCGGAAATGGAGTACGACGAGTACACGCACATGTTGAAATTGGTGGGTTCTATATATTCAACGATCAGTTTTGCGTTGCTGAGCATTCTTGTTATAGCTTCGGCAGGGGGCTGACAGTGCTCGAGGTGACGATACCTCGAAGCTCAAGGCTCTTGTTGCCGAATGGGTTAATCGGGATCTCAAGCCAGAATTCCCGCTCGATTCCGACGACAAACATACCCGTGGATTCTCCAACGACGCGTGCGGCAGGTTACTCTGCCCTGCCGAACTGGATTGGAACAACCCAGCGCAAGTAGTACTTTTGAGATTTCGAGAAAAATGCTCACTTTTCACCAGGGTGCGGACGGGCATTCGAGATCGCTCAGAGGGCTGTATCGTGACGGATCTTTCCTTTCCGGCCTACCTGTACGATAACTATACTGCCAACCCGGATGATCTGGAGGAGGGTTTGTTCAAGAGCAAAATACTTCTTCAGGTCCGTCCCTCTGCCTGTAACCTGATTGTAAGCTTACTTTAAAGCAGGGGTACAAAGCCGTGTTCACGTCACCTTCCTCAGCAAAAGATGTGGAGGGTGATGGGGATGGCGCCGATGTCATCCAGAACAACAGACGCGCCAAGAAGTCATTCAACGGAGTTAGTAAGGTCAAAAAACACGTCGCTCAAATCATCAATATGAGAAAGGTCACTCCTCGCTCGATCGCGTACATCGCGTGCCTAGTAAGTCATAGGATTTTGCAAGGCCAGTGATGATGTACCATGACCATTTTGACAGCTTCGATTCTCACTTTCTTCAGTGACATCATGGCGGTCCATTGATGGCGACTTTGACTATGCTCAATTCTGGTGTACTATCGTTGATTTCTTTGAAAGGCCCCCTGGTCGAGGTGCGCGGCGCAGGGTTGATAAGCTGCTCGAGTGGTGGAATAGGTGCGTTATGTATTTTTCCCAATAAGCATTACCTGACTCTACTGTTTAGGAAGATTTTTGGACGGAGCCAACGTAACGACATCAGCGATGCGGCAAAGGCCAGCCTGTCCGTCAATGCTCTTGCAAAGCAGAGGGCACAGCGCGATGATGCGGCTTTTGACTCGGCCTAGATCCCTCGCGTAGTTTGCTATCATTACCATACTTATGTCCGGCTTGATCTTAATTGTCTTAATTGTTTACTGCAAATAAATGAATAATATTTGGCTACGCTACTGCCTTTGGTGAACATACGCGCTTGTGTTGTTTAGGCTGAATTCAGGGAGTGTAGCGCAGCCATGAACAGGTTCATATTCTTGAGCATTCGCGCCAACTGCAGAATTCAAGTTCCAGATGGTGAGTAGGCTTACTTGTGTTGATTGGGTCGAATTAGGCTGAATTCAGGGAGTGTAGCGCAGCCATGAACAGGTTCATATTCTTGAGCATTCGCGCCAACTGCAGAATTCAAGTTCCAGATGGTGAGTAGGCTTACTTGTGTTGATTGGGTCGAATTTGGGAAGTGCAGCGCAACCATGCACACCTACGTCATCTCGAGCATTCGCCCCCGCAGCATGAATTCAAGCTTCAGTTCCTGAATAGGCGTACTTGTGTTGTTTAGGCTGGATCCGGGGAGTGCAGCGCAGATATGAACACCTCTTACAGGTCAAATATCCACGCTAATTGCGTGATTCAAGCACCAGTTCGTGAATTCGCGTGCTTAAGACGAATAAGCTGGATCTAGGGAGTGTATGGCAACTTGTGAACATATCTGAATGTTGTGCACAGCTACGACTGGACCACGATGCATGGCACAACACATACCACGGCAATAGAACGGTAAGCTGGGTACCGAAGTTGATACATAACCTCCGCTACTGAATTTGAAGTTAAGGTACATTGCTACCACGGTGCAGGGTTCGTGCATAACTCTGACTTCTTGGGACGCAGTCGTAAGTAGTATACCATTGCCAGCCATTAGTGATTCAGAGAACACCGCCTTGAGACTCAAGGATGACACAAATTGATTGTCGCCTGCCTGTTAAAACAAAACCCAGCTGCTGCGCAAAGGTATAGCTTCTTCACACGCTTTCCCAATTCATATATAGCTGACAATAATTAGATGTATCAAAAAGATATCCTCTGAGGTTGAAGCGCGGAATGATTTTCTAGTCGTGTGCGCGGCTGAATATATCGTCATTGCCTGCAAGATACTGGCCTTCAGTCTCACATGGAGAATTCTCGTTGAAGTGAGGGAAATTTGGCTTTCCAGAGAGCTATGTTGGGATTTCACAGTGGGCGCCCTACTGCTGATGTGGCAAGCTTAATTCGTGGAGTCAGTTCTTGCTCATGTTGAACAGCGTTACTGTCCTCAGAAAGATCCTGACTTTCACGCCGTACTCGACATCGCGAAACTTAATTCTGACATGGCGCTTGCAATCCGTCTAGTTGAACCATTAGCTTTGCTCTACTTTCCCGTCGAATCTGACCTTGAGTGATGAGTGGGTGTCTTTTACCTATCACTAGCTCGGAGTACGAAATTCAGAACTGTTCTTTCCTAGACAAAGTCAAAAATGATGATGTGATGATCGATAGCGGATTTATGCAGATTTTAGTAATTATATACTATGTATTGATATATATATCATTCTCATACATTCACCAGTTCACTGATGTTAGGGCAAGCCGAGTCCAGCTCAATATTTGCTCGAACTCGGAGGACCGTTTTGACAACGAGGAACTGTACAACCCGTACATGCAAGGAAACTCGCAGATCATATCGTACACTACCAGTCAGCGAGAGCGCTGAGGACAAAACGTGTGAGGCAGATAAAGGGAGAGACGAGTCTCGACAAAAACACTACAATAGGGCTATTCCAAATTTGTCATACAGTCATTTCCGAAAGTCTTGACTCACGTGTTTGTGGCGGTTCAAAAATAGTGGAAAAGCTGAAAATTCAAATAAATCGAAAATTCAGCAAACTTGCCCCACTCTCACTCAAACTCGAGCAGAAAAGCATAACCGACACTCTTTTGAACGTTAAATAATGTCTTTTACAGTATCTGAATGTTCCGACGAGAAGAATGTCTCTCATTCACAACACTCTGACGAAGAGTCTATTGATGGTAATCATATGGAATCTGACGACATTACACAGAAGAATGTAGTGATCTTGGTGGCATGGAGGACTCATTGTGCGAGGATGGTGAAGAAACCAATGGGGATGATGATTTAGAGCTTGCTCCTGATATGCTGCCAGCAAAGCGGCAAGGCCTTCCATCTAGCTTGAAATCTACAATGTGATACCCCGCTGTTTATTTGCACATTTACCGTTCGTTAATATTCTTATATGACCCTTGTAGATATCCATACCCCATACATGCAGCTATTGTCCACTCTACTCCACGTAGTAATATTGCCCACACCACAGTTAATACATCCATCGTACTACAGATCTGAGATAGCCACTATGCCTATACCAGCCTCGCGCATTTTCGGCATTCACAGCCCTGAAGCAAGCTTCACGAAGGTCCTGCTCAGGGAATTGGCTGTGTCGGAGTTCCCTCCAATGCCTTCGAAGCCACTTCTTCACTATAGAGAAAGTGTGAGTGACAGAATGAAATGAAACATGTCCGAACATACAGCAACTGAAGCTCTCCTCGATCGGATTGAAGTCTGGGGAGTATGGTGGTAGAAAAACAAGTAAGCAACCTACGAATGTGTCAGACTTGCAGGCGAAGCAAAGTAGCATTTAGCAAACCAGATGCCTCTACAGCTTCCCGTAAAGCGTCACTCTTGTGAGTGGAACAGTTGTCGAGGACAATCACGCTGTTGGGGCCAGGGATGCTCAGCTGTATAGTTGGCTGTCATGTTGTGCAACCAATCAGCTCGGAAACCGTCATCACGTTCGGCCGCTATCCTCTTCAAGCGTTTATAGGTGATTCCAAGGTCCCCGAGGTTGCGGTAAAGAGCTGGTGTGGATATTGGCTGATCATGAGCCATTCGCTGATCTCATCCAGTAGTAGAGACGGGTTTTCAGCTAGCAGCTCGCAGATCTCATCCTTCATAGTTTGATCAACAAGCGAGGGCGGCCCATGATTGGTGTGTGAGGGTTAGCACGTCCATTTTCATTATAATTTGCCTCCCACCGCTCTATACTTCTCGACGACACTCCAAGAACATCAGCGATGTGCTCGATCTCCCATCCTTCCTCCAAAAGCGGGTACAGAGCTCGTTCTTTTCGATCAGGATTGATCCTCTGGTAGACCATGGTGAGCCTGAGTGAGAATCTTGTGCAATATGACGTGTTTGAAGGCGTACAGAGGTGTATACAACTCGAAAATGATTTAATTGAATTTTCAACATTTCTATTATTTTTGAACCGCCACAAACACGTGAGTCAAGACTTTCGGAAATGACTGTATTTTTTCTTTCTTTCTTTTTATGTATAGACGAGACGACAAGGACACCAGTGATGCCAATATCAGACGACACTCTCGAGAAATACAGTCGAGGCAATGGATAATACAGAATCGAAACGAGCGTCCTAAACCCATGGATAAGATGTCTATGTATTTTTGGAACATATCCGAGGACCAGCGTTCTGCTGCTTGTATCAGCGCAGGCACGACACCAGCTGCAGCTAGAGCGATACATGCGCCTCCCATGGAATGTCCCGAAATAGTAGGCGAAAAGAACTGGCGTAGTGCAGTGAGCCAGATCTGCGGATGATGGTGAAATCATTGGTCACGGACAAACGCATACCGGTTGAGAAGTGCCAAAGGATCGTTCTGTCCCTCATGCTCTGCCAAAAGCAATTGATAAAGTAAAGGTAAAGTACACGACTACCTTGCGATAAGACTGAATTTTGAGCGTGTCAGGCCAAACCAATTCGCCCAAGCGCTGAAGAGTCTTGAACCCAGTGACGAGCATAGCGACAAACGAGATGTCGTCATAGATATCAGATGTTGCGAAAGCATCCACTACAAGCGTGAGGCCGTCGAGGGAGAGTGGCAATTTGCGAATGGCGGGTTGAGAGATATATGTATTGCAGCCCTGGCCCGGGAGAGTCCGAGAGCGAGTAGTGCAGGCATCACGTACTCGTGGAAAATGTGATTCCAGTCAACAAACGATGCCCGACTCGGATCAGTAGGTAAGTACCAATACCCATCATGCCTACTCTTGTTCCAATGGAGTCCTTAGGATTGAGCATCCCTTATATAACTATTGTTGTCTGACTCCAACAGTGGAGTCGGGAACTGGCGCGTCTGCGACACTATCTATACTCGTGATCATGGGTCGGTGACACTCCATGATAACGTTCAGCAAATCCAGTAAGTCCACTGTTGGATGTCACCGTTCTCGCATTGGCGCCGTGCTGATCGGGCTATATAAATCCACAAAGTTTGCCCAGTGACACGCTCATGGAGTCATCTGGTCCTCGGTCGCCTGCAAGCAGTGACTGCACCAGTAGTACAATACCCGGCGTTTTCACTCTACCTGGTCTTTTTGGGGTCGTAGACAAAGATGTGGAACACCCTCACCCTCTATGATGTTCGGAAGAATGGACTCAATAAGAACCGCGCAGAACAAGTACATTTGATGGTGCGTTCCTTGTCACGAGAACGTTTCCCATAATCATAATTGACCGTATCTAGTCTCTATCGCCTACTTTTCCCATTCGACTTCGGCTTATTCAGGCGTTACCTTGTCGTGTCCACAGCATACCTACGCTTCAATGATTCAACACTTCCACATCATCATTTTCTGTCATCTTGGTTTTCTGTCCGATATCTTCCCCTTCGTCGAAACAATAAAGTTGTGCTCATCTACAAGACAATAATGCAATACTGTGATTGCATCCTGGATTGTTTGTCTGTACTAAATCTACCCCGGTCTCATGTGCACGACTTACTCCCCCAGGCTGCGTGTTGTCCTGGCGAGCATCGACGATGCTGTCAGTCGTCATGCCCTTCCGCTTCAGCATCGAAGCATACTGAAGCTGTTCTCAAATTCTCATGATTGAAAATAAGAATAAACAGCGATCGTTTGATGAGTGCAAGCCTAAGTCTACATAGCACAAAACAGAACGCGATAGGAAAAATGGGTGTTGAAAAATCGATACAGTCTGCAGCGGTCGGCAGTTGAAACTGGAGTGGCAAGTATAGTACATCATGATAGGATGGGGAAGAGATCGTAAACAAGGAAATATCAGTCTACACAACTCAGGAGTTGAAGCTGGCGAGCATACACAACACGAATGCATGGTACGGGAAAAATGCATCGAAAAACAGGAAACTTGGGTCGAGCAAGGGTTGAGCACCATCTACTTCGTTTCAATCAAGTCCTTTGCTGCAGGCTGTCAGTAAGCTTCGACTTCCAGGTTCACAACGAGGCGAGGGACGTACACATGCGATTTTCAAAGATGAGTTCAAGAAACTTCGTCCCCAGTTGCTCTGTCTTGTAGCCTTGACGATAAATCTCTTTCGCTCCTTTCTCCACTGCGTGAGCCGCCGGAGATTTCAGGTATTCGCTCACGGCAAACTCGACGTGCTCCAAGTTTTTTATGTTGTTCGAGAGAAAGGCAGAGTACTCGAGGACGATAATAGTAGCTGCTACCTGTCATCAAGACTACGACTGGTCACGCGGTGAGGAACTAACCAATACCAGTCTCAATGATTCTTTTCGCAGCAGCAGTGAACAATGATCCCTTCGCAACCTGTTGCACACTCTTACAGTGCTGAAAATCAATACAGAGGAAAACCAACATACCAAAGGCTGAAGGACGCGGATAATGTCATTTCGCTCGATTGTGGCCTAGCCAAAGGTTGAAAGTATGGGTATCAGAATCAACTCCATAGAGCGAGGTACGTGCCTCCTGCGGGAAAGGAATGTCAGAATCATGAGGTAATAAATTAACACATAAAAGGATGATGCATATGTGGCTAAAATCCTTAGCGATTGAAACATACTCACAACCTATAGAGTGAAAGAGCCAGTCAAAATGAATACATTCAATGTCTCACATTATGACGGTCAAATGACTTACATTCTGCGCAGTGCAAGAAAATACGCAATATGAATGACCATGGAAAATAAGCTTTCAAGGAGGGATACTCAACAAACTATGCATTATATGAGTAATGATGATTTAATTCACCTGATGAAATTGAAGATGCTTACACCAGGCTATGAAAATGAGTTAACATCATTATATTATTCAGTACGATTTCAATACAGGGTATATCAAGACACTCACCACCTGCCAAAAACAAGAGCAAGATGTAAGACCTGTCCACATGGGTTGCAGACAGAAAACCATTGAGGCACTTACCACCTGTCAACAGGTGAGCAGCAAGGCATCAGGATTATAAGCATGATTCAAGGATGAGAAACCATCAGAGGTACTTACATCGTGCCAACAGGCGAGCAGCTGCAAGCATGAAGATCATAAGCACGGGACGAGGACCAGAAACAATCAAAACACTTACCTCCTGTCAACAGGCGAGCAGCAGCAAGGCATGGGGATCATAAGCATGGGTTGAGGATTAGAAAACGTCAAGGCACTTACCCACTGTCAACAGGCGAGCAGTAGCGTGGCATGGGGATCATGAGCATGGGTCGAGGACTAGAAATCATCAAAGCATTTACCTCCTGTCAACAGGTGAGCAGCAGTAAGGTATGGGACCATGAGCATGGGTCGAGGACTAGAACGCATCAAGGCACTTACCTCCTGTCAACAGACGAACAGTAGCAAGGCATGGGGATCATGAGTATTGGTCAAGGACTAGAAATCATAAAGGCACTTACCCACTGTCAACAGGCAAGCAGGAGCAAAGCATGGGGATAATGAGCATGGGTCGAGCACTAGAAACCATCAAGGCACTTACCCACTGTCAACAGGCAAGCAGGAGCGAGGTATGGGGATCGTGAGAAAGGTCGAGGACTAGAAACCATCAAGGCACTTACCCGCTGTCAACAGGCGAGCAATAACAAGGTATCAGCGTTGTATATGATGTTCGAGCTGCGCGAACCACAATCTTACCAGCTGTTATCAATGGACAACTATAATGAAGAAAAGTATATCAGAATGTCTGTAGTTTCATCACTTCAACATTTACCATCCGTGAGCACCACTATCAGAGCATTGTCAGATTGAATCAATCTTCGTCTTACTTTGAGATGTGGAAACCACTTAGCAATGTCATACTGATCTTCATAATTGATTCGATGTAGCCTGGATTGCTGACATGCACGATCGACGAGTGTCCTAGATGATGTTGAACCAAAAAGGTGTGATTTTGTAGCTCTGCGACTCACATGACGGCACACTGGATACAAAGCTCCAGGTTTGATTGTTGTGTCCACACCAAACACAATCGCAATCCTTCGTTGTCCAATGCGAGAATGGTGTGTTCCAATAAAGTGTTACAGTTTGTATATGGTTGGTTCATATCTAGGACGGTAACCAATATCAGCTTTTACATGGGATAAGTCGATCTGAATCACTTGCGCTCCAAGCGTACATAGGACTTGAAACGGGCACGGTTTTCAAGGTTGCGCAACCGATCCAAGACGCCTGTCTTACTGAACAGTTCCTCGACACGCTCAGCAATCCTCTTCGAGCGCTCTTCGCCCGATACCCCTCGTAGTTGCTTCTTGATTTCACCATACGCGACTGGACGCAAAACTTCGAACTTGGTGAACACTACAACCACGGGAACTGAAGATTGATCATTTAGTCCGAGCACAACAAGTGACGATGAAGTTGCAGGCTCACCGTACCCAGTGTCGCACTCCAAGAAAAACTTCTCCTCCGACCGCTGGAATGTTCGAGACGGATCGTCCATTGGAATGCAATACCTGACTATAATCAGCAAACGCGGAACGTCAGAAGGGTGTTACTTACCAGATAGCATGGATTCGCTCCTCCAATTTTGTTGCGTGTGCGTGTTCCGAGATAAAAGTCTTCACCTTCTCGAATTCTTCGTTAGAGCCCGCTTCAAAACCGCACGAGTCGTGAAAGACAAAACCAGGATTGCTTTTGAATACCATCCCGGTTGTGATGTCGTGATTTCCACGCTGAGCATCCGTCAGCGCCTGTATGTCTACGGGGAAATTGGTGCACACACCTGGATCGAGGATTGCGCGATGGCAGCATCGATCTACCCACAATTGATCAGCGATAGACACATGCATGGCATAGATCATCACCCGCACCTTGTTTCCTTTGATATCGTAAATCTCTGGTTCATCCGTGGTATTGCAGACCTTCTGAAGAATAGTTGTTTTGCCTGCGTTTGCTCTCCCTATGATCAGGACTCGACAATGCCCAATTCTTTCTCTGAGGTTCTGGGCATCTCGAATGGTTGCCATTTGAGGATCTTAATATGCGTCCTGAAGCAGACGTGATTTGGTTTATCGTGAATTCGAAAGCTGTACTGTGGCACAGAAGAGATTGTGGCGGCAAGCGGCTCCCACTACTAATTATAAGTATCATTCAACGCCGCCTCCAATGTCCATCGACGGGAAATGCACGATTTTCACTTAGTGCTGAATAACATCACAACAACATATATTCCTATCGGATCTACTTAAATTCTAAAAGAACATGCTTGTTGGGTCTGTGTGGAAGTTTACTCGCAAATTGCATAAGAACGTTGGCAGTAGCGCCGAAATTGTTTACTTCCTCCGTTCTTCCCCTTCTCTTTCCATCTCAATGTCTAATACAACAGGACGCATGCACAACATGTCTCCGCGATCCAGTCCCGCACCTACCGAGACCGGCCTCCCGACCATCGAGTAAGTGGCAAGTCAGACCGACCTATTCATGATACTTAGATGCATAGGAATGCGATCGACGCGAATGCAGTGACCGAGGATCCTGCTGTGTCCATTAAGGTTGACCTTTATAAGAATATGTGAATGCCAAATAATCAGCATGTAAACTTCACTGATTCTATTGTTTCAAGGTCAAGCACCCTGGAGCAGACTCCGGACAATGAGGCCAAGCCGAATAACGTGAACGAGAATCCTGCAGTATCTATCGAAGGAAGCCTTAATACGATGTGAATGTCAACTCATCAGCACGCTATACTTGATGTCTGACTATATTTTTCTTAAAGGTCAGACACGCTGGGGCAGATTTTTGATGTCCTCAAAGGATCGACTATCGCAGAAGAACTGGGAAAAGATGACAATTCAAGGTTTTGGGCGACCTACAAGAAAGTTTCGACTGAGTATGACGACGACTTCCTCAGGCGGGCTAATGACGACATGACCATTATTCTGACTTTTGTACGTTTCTTTCTACGTCTGCTCGTCAATGCAAGTGTCACAGTGGTATTAGGCTGGTCTATTCTCAGCTGTCAACTCCACCTTCATCGCCGGGATGCAGCCTAATCCAGGAGACACTACCAATATCCTCCTCCTCCATCTGATCCAGATAACTGTTAACGGGCCAAATTCCGTACCTGACATCAGTAATCTTTCTTCATCTACGGTGTATCCCCCTTCGACGGTCTGGGTGCAAACACTTGCCTACGCTAGCCTCGCATTTAGCGTCTTGGCCGCGTTTGGGGCTGTCCTTGGAAAACAATGGCTTCACTCTTACAGGTCAGCTCGAGGACGAGGGTCTCTCGAAGAGCGCGGCATAGAGAGGCAGATGAAGCTAGACGGAGTAGAATATTTTCGCCTGCAGACCATCTTGCAGGCATTCCTGGTGCTGCTCCAGATTTCGCTCCTGCTATTCGGTCTCTCGCTGAGCGCCCGCATGTGGGTCCAGCAAACCATGATATCCAGCGTCATCATGTGTACTACAGCTTTCGGCATTCTGTTCTATGTCGGTACTACCCTTGTGTCGGCGTTGCGTCAGGACAGTCCTTTCCAGACACCAGCCTCGGAAGCATTTGTAGCTATCTGCCAAAAAATTCTTCCAGACAAATTCACATTCACTCCTGACAATTTCATGAAATTGTCCGCCATTCGCTGGATATTAAAGACATCAACGAACCCGGACATTGTCGAGACCGCGGCTGCGATTATACCTTGCGTGCAATGGCCCCCGAACCTTGATGTTTCAGCAGCCTTCGCATGTTTACGTCATAATTTCGTGGCGTCTCTGGACAGGGAAGAGTTAAATGTGAAGTATGGCAAAGCCATGGCCCATCTTTGTATTCAACCGGTGAAAATCAAGAAGGAACATCTGGAGTTTTCTTGCAATGATAAACTTCAGACAACTCAAAGTCGTTTCATTCGCGATGCGTTCATGGCCGGTCGGGCTGCCTATGATCACATGAAGAATTCACTCGAACCAAACGAGAAACTCAAGCATCAGGCTGATATACGCACTGCTCTCAGAACGATGCCTGTCCACGGACAGTCTTTTGGGCTTTCACGTCCGGACGATGAAGAGTTGATTTGGTATGGCGATCTGTGCTGGTATCACGGCGACGGGAGTGAACCTAGCTGTGAAGAATTTGATTGGCTCGTTGATTACTTGGCGGGTGACGCAAACACAGACGATAAAACACGAGGTGACGCTTTGCTTGCGCTGAGCGCCATGCAGGGACTAGGGAGCCCTACCAAGCAATCGTCCTATATCAACTCGCTTATCCGCTGTATGGGCTCCAGCAGACCTCCCCGAGTCCGGCACACCGCGCTTAGAGCTGTCTTTGAAGCTCGAGAAGAGCTAGCTTCTATAACAAGTGCCTCGATGCCAGAGGGTGTTGATGCATATATCCTAGATGAGCTTTCTCGCGCTGTTTTAACTGCTGTACGTCCAAATGACGACGAGACGATTCGCAACAATGGACACGACGCCTCTTTCCACGAAGATCGAGACTATTGCTACATCCGCTTCATCTATACTCTGACAAAGAATGACGAGTGGTGTCAACGTCTAGTCCGTGATGGCCATCTCGACCGTTGTATTTCTCTAGTTGACGGAGTGCCTCGAAAAGGCCATTCGGACGTCGGATTCTACCTTATGATCATTTGGAGCATCGAGTCCTTGCGCAAGGATCTTCCCTTCAGTCCTGCTGGGGAGAGATGGCGGCGACTCCTCAAGAACCAATGGAACTCGACGACATCTCGCGTATTGGAAGCTAGCTATGTCGATAAAATACCAGCCTTCGTGACAACAACGAGGCTGAATTTGACAGTCTCGGGTGTTCCGAGAGAGTGGTTCACAGATCTCACTGCAGATGTGCATAGGACTTTGGAAAATTTGGTACAGAGCCAAGCGGTCCATGTGGAAGATGGTGTAGCTCAGGCTACCGTGGACGCTGCATTATTTTCTCTCCAGGGCTTGTACAACGACCTGTGTCGTATTATTAAGGAATACCCGTAAAGGGACGGTGGAACTTCGAGGTATTGATGGATACCATCAGTAGTGAGGTACTTTCATCCATTTGTTATGCACGTCGCAGTTCGTTCCTGTAGTTAGATTCACCGCCTTTGTATTGACACGTGATAGGAAAACTAATGTTTGGATGAAGAAATTAGTAGACAACGTAGTGAGACGTGCTACAAGAGAGAGACGTGAGACTTAATAAAACGAATCAGACGAGGAGCGTGTAGTGACTTGCTACCACTCCGCCACCAAACCGTGGCGAAAACAAGGTACCAGCAGCCTTGTAACGTAAGAAAACTTGTCAGCTCTGATAATTAGTATGTGAGTAGAATCTCTGGAAAATACTGAACCCTCCAAAGAGCTCCACTAGTTCTTCGATAAACGGTATATAAATGATTTCAATCGGCTGAGACCTTGCGAGAAATAAAACTATGTACATCATATTGGTTTTATCGCCCGAAAGTTGCCCGAAGCGGTCGCTACCCCCCAAAAATAGACTCTGTACCTCATTTACAAAGTGTCCCCCATTATCAACGGCGACGAGCACTCGTAGACAGGGTTTAGGGCAAGCCGGAACCTTCGAGTCCAGCTCAATATTTGCTCGAACTTGGAGGACCGTTTTGACAATGAGAAACTGTATGTACAGTACATGCAAGGAAACTCGCAGATCATATCGTACACGTAGCTACCAGTCAGCGCGCCGAGGACAAAACGTATGAGGCAGATAAAGGGACTAGTCTCAGACGAGTCTCGAGCCTCGACAAAAACGTTAGTATAACAGGGCTATTCAAAATTTGTCATATTTTTTTTCTTTCTTTTTTTATATAGAATTCCAGACGGACACTCTCGAGAAATACAGTCGAAGCAATGGATAATACAGAATCGAAACGAGCATGCAGCGTTGTCAATTTTCGATGAGTCACGGTGCCCTAAACCCAATGCCCATGGATGAGATGTCTTCCGAATGTATTTTTGGAACTCATCCGAGGACCAGCGTCCTGCTGCCTGTATCAGCGCAGGCACGACACCAGCTGTAGCTAGAGTGATACATGCGCCTCCCATCGAATGTCCCGAAATGTCGTCACAGATATCAGATGTTGCGAAAGCATCCACTACAAGCGTGAGGTCGTCGAGGGAGAGTGGCAATTTGCAAATGACGGGTTGAGAGAGATATGTATTGCAGCCCTAGAGAGTCCGAGAGACGAGTAGTGCCTTGCGGACATCGAGAACTGTCAACAAACGATGCCCGATCGATAGCTAGGTGTCAAGTGTCGAAGAACAATTAATGATTAGAACTCAGATTGTCTGAGCTTTCAAGTCCAACTTCGAACTGACTCACTGCTTCGTCTTGGACGATGACCCCAGCCGCATGTTCTCAGTCAAGATTTTAGAGACGGATACCGTCAGTTGCCTGAAACAGGTTATCAAGAAAATGAGGAATGCATTTCACGACGTAGATGCGGACACTCTCCAGCTATGGAAGGTGAGTAATCTGATGCCAGTCTGGGAAGTTGGTGGTGCTGAGTCTCTGACCATATGAGACTTGAAAGTTAATATTGACCCGGAGAAGGAGAAGTTAGATCTCCCGCATGAAGCTTAAGCCGCTTACCCGACTCCTCTCCGAAGTGTTCACTGTGAGTCCGGAGGATGAACACCCTCATATATTTGTACAACACGTCGTCGTACAACCGCCACCTGCTGGTAAGTTATCTGTAATATCGCTACTCTTTCATCCATACTGATTGTGGTACGATTAATACGTTCTCTACCAGTCGGCCACCCGTCCATCCACCTCAACTGCTTAATCTTGGATGACGACCCCAGCCACGTTTTCTCAGTTAAGATTTTACAGACGGACACTGTCAGTAACCTGAAAAAGGTTATCAAAGAAGAAAATTCGATGGTGTCAATGCTAAGCATCTTAAGCTATGGAAGGCGAGTGACCTCAGGCCACGATTTGGCAAGTTAGTGCTGATGCATATTCTACATAAGGTCGATATTGACCCAGAGAAAAAGGAGAAGTTGGATCTCCCGGATGATGCCAAGGAGCTTAAACCGCCAACCCAACTCTCCCAAGTGTTTACTGTTCAAGTTGGACCAGAGGACGGACACCTTCATATAGTATTCGTACAACACCCCGCTAGTAGGTGGAACTATTTTGATATGGCTCAGTGAGCCGACCACTGCCTCCCAGATGCCTCCCGTGATCATTTGCAACCGTCGTCTTCCACACTCCCAAAAACAACACAGCAACTTCGTGCAGAGTGGATCCGGAATTTTGACGAATTTTGCTCGAAAACTCCGCCTTCCTTTGTTTACTCTACGTGAAAAAGGCAACTTCGAGTGATAGATTCGAAGCTGTACATATATGTTCTCCGTCCCTATTTTCACAAAAAAAAACAGTGCTATAGAGCTTCGAAGGTCCGGAGTAGAAAACTTAAAATGTGTTGTTGCATGAGCTATGATGCGTTTTCCAAATTTCTACTATATGTTGCAACTTTGGCCCAATGATAGGTACTACTTTGAAAGGGCAGCAAATGAAAATTGGCACAACGATTGCACATATATATCAATAATAAAAATGTTGCCTCTATGGTACTGACGATAGTCAACTGCGTAATCATACACGTTACGTCAATGGAAGTATTACCGATCTCATGCGCGAGAGGGTGAGAAATATCATAAATCCTAAACAATTCAATGGCAGACGATATGAAAGATGGCCTATTTATGCGCCCTCTGTCATGAGGTGAGGCTTTCCCGTGGAAATTGCGAGGGACGTGAGGAGTATTTCCCATGCTGTATCCAGGGCACACCAGAGCCGCTCGTCGGCGATGCCCAGTGCAACCGTATTGCGCCATGTGCAGTGCACTTTGGTAATGTGACGCAGCAGAGCGCTCACCGTATATGTATCGGCAATTTTCTGAGCGAACTGTCTGAGAAGAGGCATGACAGTGGTAGGATCATCGAGGTAGAGTTGGGGTGGTGTGGGTAGTGGCATAAGTGACCCAAGAAGGTGGTCGATACGCTTCGTGTATAGGAATGTGGAGAGCTGAGGGAAGACCTCAGGGGCAGGGATGCACAAAGGAACCACTGGCACTTTGATCTCCTGGCCTGCGCACTCTGCGATTGCTGGCGCTGGAGTGGGTAGAACCGGAAGGTTCGCGCAGTGGATAGCAAAAACGAGATTGTGTGCAGGAAACAACGTGACGCGACGACGGCGAGCAGGGGCCGGCTGGCGGGATGAGAAGACCGCGAACATGTGGGTGGGCACGTCAGACGAAACATCGTTGACAATTATCGAAAGTTCCCGCGGGAGGACATTGGAAGCAGGTTCAGCTTTGATCCCTGCAAGGACACGGAGCATGCTGAAAAAGGATTCGTCAGATGATCGATCGACTACCAGATGAATCTTGACTTACTCGGGCCCGAGGCATTCTAGTCCATCGCGAATGTAATCAATATGAGTGTGAATGAGTTCAGGTGCCACAGCCTGAAGTACGGACACCGGGATCTCAGCGGTCTTGGGTCGAGCGAGGAGTCTGGGAAGGGAGATGATCTTAGACACTGGTGTTGAGTCCCCCATCTCGACATCGCGAGAAATAGTGGGGACATCCATCCGCACTGGAGCAAGAGGGCTTTTGGACGGAGTTTGCTCCTTGCGCTTCTTGGCATGCTCAATTGCATGCCTAAGGTAATGGGCTCCGCCCGAAACGAGAGCTCGGCGACGACGAGAGGCGCCCTGGATACCGGTGCGAACTTTGGATGGTTTCGCAGTAAGGCGTGTAGCGGGAGGAGTGTTCTCAGAGTCGATGTGACGAACGTAGTTAGCCGTTTGCGAGACCATTGTGATGTGATAAAGGCGGAAGAACTGAAAGTAGCGGCTTAAATGGCAAGGAAGCTTGAAGTGCTTCGGGGGGTTGAATGCAAGTAGATGACGGACGCGTTTGTCGAGGGAAACTTGACTGGGGATTCCATGACAGGAGGGGCACCTTTATAAACCTGCAAGGGAACAAGAAGGGACGAAGTAATTCGAATGGATCGTGACGTGACATTGCAAAAGCAATCCATCAAGTCACGTTCGAAATTTCCTCTTAAGCAGATTGCTAGCAAAATTTTAGCTGCTTTTGGAAGTTGTTTGGGACCCATATGCGCAAACATGGACCTACAAAAGAAGCATCGAGAAAGCAATCCATCGATTGCATACACTCATTGTCCGTAACCGGCATATTCCCAATTGTTTCGAGTTGAAAGGCTTCAATTAGCTGTTGTTGCCACATTGCCACAGGTGTATCCACATCTTCGCGATTGAAATCCACCGCAGTTTGATGCTCCATTGTCCCTGAAAAACTGTAGCTGAGAACCTCCAAGGACCCTTTGATCAACTAGGCCTTCATGTGCGATGATCCGATCGGAACAGTTATGAAGGCATTGCTGTCCCGTCTCGGTGAGAAACGGTATTGTCACTGGTCCACGTGACAATTAGATTAGATAAGCCTGAATTGATGAGTGTTCTCGCCGAGAGTTGCAGCGGCTTGAGCTTGAGAGTATGTGATGAGAGGCTGCTGGACCTTAAGCCCAGTCAAATAACAAAGTCGAGACTGAATTATGTCGGAACGCGTTAGACCTAGCGTTAGTCTATATAAAGACTCACCGTCGACAACGTCACAGTCAGGGCTGTGTATTAAAATGACAAAAATGTACTGCTACGAAGTTGGCGACCTTGCCACTAATATCATAGTAGAGGGTTTCCTATGGTAAAAGGATCGTAATTGCTGCCAATTCAATGCCAGTGGAAGGGAACCATGCGGGTTTTGGCCGGATCGTGGATCACAAAATGCGACCGTGATCCACTCGAAATCTGTCTGCTATCATTAGTCTTCAGGCCGCAAAAAATAGGGCCGTACGAACGAGAAAGAGTAATAGTTACCTGAATGTGTGAGAACGTGTTTTATGTACCGCCACCGGGAGAGCAGGTGGTAGGTGGCCAATGACAGGCTGTTCACCTGGCACAATTTAGGGCACGTCCCACTACCATTCGTGCATCAACAACTTAGCCAAGTCGACTCCTGGTACCTTCCATTAATTGAGGCGGGAGGGGGATTACCGTTGACGGTGGCATTGGTGATGTTTGGCCATTCTGACCTTGGTTTCTGGAGGTGCCGTGTTCACTAGTCGTGAATGTTGTCTAAAAAACACCACGACCGCGAGTTTGGTGGGCAACGGGTGGCGCAAAAATTGCCCGTTGATGAGATCGCTTCCAATGGACGGCTACCCTCGAGTACAGAGGACAGCCGTTCCTGTGTACTGTTCCGAATAATGCTAGTATGCGTTTGAGTAGGGAGTGGAGATGCAAGTGAAAACATAGAACAAGTAAAGAGAGGTAGAAAGAGTGAAACAGAATAAATCCACAGTCGAACGGTTCGTAAAAATAACTGCTACAATGATTATAATATATGGGCTGAGACATCACCAACAACAAGCTGGGTGGCCCGGGGCCGATGGCAATGAAACCGCAACGCAGTAATACACCTAGAACAAATTGTCGGCGTATACTTGGTGCTTGTATACGCGTACGAAGAGTTAAAAACTGAACTTCATAATATTGTAACTTGTTAGACCTATGCCTCCTTCTGGATTTTTTTTTTTGGCGGAAAGCAAAAAATTAACGTTACAACAAACGAAGGAAAATTTAAAGGGCCGAGACAAGTTGAAACCTTTATATTTAACAATTAATTACTCACCCACTTTACTAGGCTATATACTTAGAGTGCCTTCCAGATCACCAGCGTCAAGGAAATCACAACGATGAATACTGTGGTCCATTGAGGGGACTCATACAGTTTCTTCCCGAGTCATATTACATCCTGTTATATCCAAGCATTGATGGCTCACTTCAAGTAGGGAGATTTCCACAAGCATTTTCAATTTGCATCAGACGCACCGTAGTGCCCTTCTCCGACTTGAAAGAGTCGACTCGGAAAAGTCGACATTCAGAAGTCTAAGTCGAGGGGGCACCCAAGGCACTAAGGCCGCAGCTTGTAGTCTCGTACACTCTGAAGGGGAACTGGTTCCAACACATTTTGGTTGGATAGAGGGGCTCAGGAATATCTGGATTCTGGATAGACATGAATCGTTCATATACCGGTCGGGCACAATACTTATCGATATTGTAGACAATGTTAGTCACGTGATTCAACGCGATCAGGTGACTTATTTTGAACTGGATTATAGGCTCAACTGGGTTTATCAAATGCTTTGACGATGTCAACGACCACCCAAATTCTCTTCCATAGCCCGGCTCTGAATTCCCTCAAACGCGACCAATTGGTCAAACTATGCAAGATTCATTGTATCAAAGCTAATGGAAAGAACAAGGATCTCATCGAGCGTCTCCAGCTACACGCACAAACACTTCCGCCTGATGATCCGTTGAGCGTTGCAGCCAGGGGCGACAAAAGTGAAGATGAACAAGATACTGCGAGAGAGGAAAGCAGCAGAGCATCCGCACTGACGCGCCCGAGTGAACAATGGGAGATTGTCATGGACAGCATTGCAGAAGTTGATGAAGATACTGCGAGTACACTCAAAAACAACCAGGCGCGTAATGCCACACAAGCAGGAGAGTTTGGAACAAACGGGGGCAAAGGTATCTAGCTGACTCTCTTTTCGGGTGCTATTAAAATGAAAACATCTAATTTGCTATTCAGCTTCAAGTGTTGGTTCCTCTCTCAAAGCCATAGCCACTTCTCTTGGACTGAAACGCGGGAATGTATCTTCTGAAACAACCACGACCGCTTCATCGAAATCTTCGCTCACTTCCACACAAAGTGGCAAATCGCAGAGCACGGCTCCGACTGAGCCGGAGCCCGAAGTTCAACCTGTGCCAGGACAGAACGCTCTTGCAGGTCTCCCAGCGCCAGACAATGCCCGTCTCAGTATATCTCAGGGACCTGCAACGACTACAATCCGTCTAGTCGCCTCCAACATACCTAATAACTCGTTGTTCTCCCCGCCAAAGTTACATCCATTCAAGACATCCTTTGATCTTGTGCCCCAAACGCCTGGGGGAGCAGAAGGTGGCAGTGTATGGCCCCTCTCACCTGGAGGCGCCAAACGCGAGCGCATATACCCAGATGTTCCAACATTTTCTGCCTTTGAACCTGTAAATACTTCCGACATGGACATTGATGTCGATTTCTCCGGCACGCTCCAGTCATCCACGCCAGCGCGTTCGAAATTCAATACAGGTGCTACCCCGAAGTCTGACGAAAAGCCATCTGATGTCCCCAAAGATTTATTTTCCCCAGCACCAAGGCTTACTCGTGCTCGGGAGGAGGCGAACTCATTTCGCCCACAGCGCTCCCCAGAAAAGACAAGCGGCGAACTGGGAATACCCCGCTCTGAGCCTTTCATCTTTGGATCTCCTAATCCTCAGCACCGTCTTTCAAACACGCAATTTCGAAGTGCGGCACAAAGCGTGCTGGACGACATGAACGCGCGCCTTAGATCGGAGGGCGTCGCAAGCGTAGACTTTGATGTTTTGAGACGCCAGCAACAGACCACGTCAAAACACTCTATTACAGAGGACCTGCAGCAGGAGAAGAAAGCTAGTTCTAGTCAGCTATTCGATAAAGCGCACCAAGCACAATTCGATAAGATGGACAGCATCACGAGCCACTATGCTGCGCGACGCGGACTGCTATCTGGTGCAGAAGCTGCACCTGTTTTGGGCAAGCGAAAGACTACCGCTGGGCCCGCCTCCATCACTGAGAAGACACGTAAGTCGAGCGTTGTGGTGAAGAAGGATCGCGTTCCTTCTACCTCAAGTGTGAGGTTACGCCCAGTTCCGAAGAAGGTCGTACCAGGAGGATTTGGCGACAATGATGACGATGATGACGGCGAAGAGGAGGATGAGCAAGAGAACGATAGGCGGAAGTCTAAACGTTTTCGCATCGACCCCATCGAGGATGCAGAGTTAGAAAGGGAAGAGACAAAGAAGCTTAAGGAGCGTGAGGCCATTCGTCGGAAGCTGGATGCCAACAAAGCCAAGAGGCGGAGCAGCATGGGTAGGCCAAGTATAGGCAAGGGTGTCCGTAAGTTAGATTCTGATACTGTCCGAACAAATCATGGTTCGAATCAACTCTGCTGACTTTAACCTACAGAGACACCCAAGCAAACATCACGGTTCGGTTTCCTCTCTTCTGCAAAGAATATCGTCTCAAATGTTTGGAATCGCGGAACAACTGGGTCGAAGCCAAATACCCTCGCCGCGAAGCCCGCACCCGCACCTCAGACGAAGACGAAGACTCCAGCCCCATCTATGTCCTCCAAAGTAACCAAAGAGCCGCCAAAAGCACAGTCGATGTCCAAAAAAGCTTCGATCATCCCTGGCTCTTCGGGAGTACCGCCCGTCCCTAAAGAGTGTGTGCCATCGGTCAGTAATGACAAACGGATGCCCTCTGGGAGTTCGCTTGCACCAGTAGCTGATTCAACGTCATCCCAGATGTCGAAGTCTCCAATTCAGTTCCCTGCTCCAGGGACGTCAAGTAGGATGAGCCATAGTAGGAGTAACTCTGCTTCATCCCTCGGTGTTGCTTCGCGAACAAATAACGCACACGTATCCTCCATGGGCTCGAAGACTTCTCTCACTGGTACATTAAGAGGTGCAACCATTGGCACGGTTCGAGCTCGCACCTCTACCCTCATGGCGCCAACTGCATCATCATTAGCCAAGGCCAGCAGGCTGCCAGTGCCGTCGTTTTCCCCACTCCAGGTGAAAGACAGGGTCAACGAGAAAGGAAAAGAACAGGCAAAGGAAGCAGATGCAGTGGCACATGTGGTGAATTCCCCGATGGTCCCCCGAAGTCAGGGACGAATCTTCAGCCAGCCCTTGGCGCCGAACAGCCCTTCGTCGAAGCCTTTGGAGCCACAGCCTCGGATGTCCCTTGCAGCAGCAGCAGTTACGCTTGCCACCGCAAAGCCTCCAATTCCGCCGAAGCCGAAGGTTATGCTCGGACGGCGGCCACGTATATCTAGGGGAAAGGTGATTGCAAAGTTGGCTTCGCAACGAGAGGCCCAGCAGGCTGGCGCGAGCGCTATTCCGAGGCCACGTGTGGGTGCATCCAGCTTCCATGCGAGTGCCGGCATGCCAAGGGTACGGTCTAGCATGGGCACGAACGTCGGGCAGTCGCATGGTGTGGCGAAAGTGGGTGGGGATGTGCTTATGAGCGCAAAGAAGCGCACGAGGAGGAGCGAGTATGCGAGGAGGCGGAGTCGTGCGGATGGGGAGAAGATGGACTTGTGAGGGGGTGAGCTGCTAGATGTTTCTTTGTTTTTTACTGTCTCTTTCTATGCATTTGTGGACCATCATTCGAGTTATACAGTACTTCATCTTGTGTGTGTACTAGTTTAATCATGCAGGAGCATGGCATTGGCTAGAATATCAATGTGGGTTTCAAATACTAGTTATCAAGCAACCGTAAATAGGTATGCCAGCATTGTGCCAGCATCACAGAAAGTTAGGTGTCTATTTTCCAACCTCGGGCGCCTTCCATGACGGAAAAGGGAGGATCCAATAACGGATGACAGGCGTCCACTACGCCACCCGATCTGAGTCCGGGCGGTGACCTCACTTAATGATTTGCAACACTACGCACCTCAAGATTACTTTTCGGCTGCCATCGCGAGAGGAAATTAATGATTATCTACACGTAGGATATTAGCGATCGGAGGGGGATGAAAGAACGTCAGAGTAAAGAATTAGCAAATCGATTGCGATGCGTAAAGTAAGTGAGATGTAAGCAGAAGCTAATCATGATCCTCGTTCAGCAAAGTGTCGTATAAAGGCCATTTTAGCGAGATGAGCAAAGCGGAATGAAAGGGAAAACGTTAAAACGGACATGAGTTCTCTCAATTCGGGACCGATATGATGTGAGACGCCGTGTTCCGCTGTCGGATTCGCCGTGCTTCCACTGTGACATTCCACGCTGTCTGGGCAAGCTCGATGAAATGCGAGTTTCGTGGTCCTAAAGACAGTATGTTCTTCCATAGTCCTTGATTGAATTTGCTACGCTCTCGGAGTTGTTCGTCGTTGCACAGCGTTGCCATGATGTTAGCCATGGTGGGAGGAGCAGGGAATTCTCCTATCACCTCAGCGGGGAGGAGGCGGCAACATAGCAGGTGTGATCGTGTTTCGAGCCCAAGTCCGAAGAGGAAGAGTAGAGGGATGGAAGGAGCGTGTGGGACAAGCAGTGGGACTACGGGGAGTGTCACAAATTGCCCCTCGGCATTTTCAGCGCAATAGGGTACCGGAAAAGTAGAACCAGGTGGGCTGAGTGGAATTATTTTGGAGCGAAAACCACGGGTGAAGAGGTCGACACGAATGGGTACCAAGAGAGGCTGATAAGATGAGCCCCATTCGGTCTCTGGGATGTCAAAGACGGCGAGGACATGAGAAGGAATGTGAGCATCCTGTTTGACGCGCATGTCTAAGGTTGCCGGAATCTCGGATGCCGGCTCTAACGTCGTCTTTGCGACATTGAAACGAGAACAAAGAAGGCTGTTGCAAATGCGTCAGGGAGTGTCAACTGATGCCTGTAACGGTGGACATACTCGAGGAGATCACAGTCTTCGGCGGAGATATATTGTTTTGAAGGTAGTAAATGCGGCTGGCTACAACTCATGTCTGAAACTTGCGAGGGAGGGTGATACCCAATGTCGAGGGTGCGTGTGTAATGAAAGAATGTCAAAGAGGTTTTTGGATGATTTGTTGAAGCGTGGTATGTTCGTCAGATTCCAGACTCTAGTATTTGAATAGGGTCAGTGAATATGGCCAAAAAATTTCAAGTACATGACATATTCCGCAGCCTAGGCGGACATAGTGAGAAACCCGAAGGCTTAGACATACCGTACGTGTTTTTGAGGGTTTAAAGCACTAGGATTTAGTCGCAGTGCGATATGATACGTGACGTGGAATCAAAGATCGTCAAAGGAGTAGTCAAAGGAAAAAGATCATGGCCACTAGCCAAAGAAGGAGCAAGACTTGTGAGAATCTGAGATGAGAGCGGGAAGAAAGTGCGAAATTAAGTTGCTCACTTGACGCTCGTCCCGTTTTAGTGTGACCGATATAATCACTGACAAGCCACGAGGTTGATATGTTGTGCTTTGCAGCTGGACGTAAATTCGGGTCAACCGAATTAGGCTGGTGCTGTGTAGCAACGTTGATATTTTAAAACCATCAGGGATAATATGACTCGGACAATGGAAACTGACCGAGAGAATCGACCGGTCAACTCTGAAACGTCTTCTAATGGACCAATGGATGAAGCTTCGATGAAGTACTTAATGGAAGCTCGCCTTTCTAAGGTACTATCCAAATAAAGCAATAATTTCTGTCATAGTATTTTTGCTAAGTATTTTTGTCATAATATAAAATAATGAAAGTCGACTGAATTACATAAGTTGAGGAACATTGTAAAAGTCCTTCGCTGGCTTTTCTGAAGTTGTGACGTGTCAATTTCTCATGGAAAACACAGCCGCGGTGTCGGGCTTCTGTTCCGGCGTCACGCATTTTGTAGTATGTAAATGATAGGGGCTTTGTTCCGACTCGCACAGCTGACTTGACTCATAGACTTGTCCTTGCTCCATTTGTTCATCGATGATCATGATTATGTACTAACCAGCTATTTACGTTGTGCACGAGTCACACTTAATATCGAGTAAACAGAATCGGTACCGCTCTTTGACGGTGCTCAACCCAATGTTCAAGTTTATCATGGTGAGGTAGCTCAATTTCGGATAACTATTCTCAACACTTTTTCACCTACAAAAGTTGACTTGGTTGACATCGCTTTTGTTGCTTGTAGCGCGTCGTAAAATCAAGGGTACCTATTTGGTCAAATTGCGCAAGTGCACCCCAGAAGCTACTCCCCACGGTTCCGAATAATAGATACCACCTTGGCTGCCTGGAGCGCATCCTGGAATTTTCCTACAAGAACCTCGATGGTGCCAATTTCGTTAAATTGCGCGAGCGAGCCTTTCTTTCCATGATAAGTCCTGCGATTACTTTGGCTGTTCCAGGCGCATTGCAAATTCCCTTCGAAGCCCACCGCTAAACAAACTCGTGAAAAAAATTATTGCGGGGTGCTTCACTCACCCAGCAGGTATGACCGGTTGCAATATATAGACCTTTCGCAATCTTCTCTGCTTCCCCGATGATAGGGCCCCCACCAGTACGTACCACTGGCAAAAAGCATGCTTGACGCTTATCGACTGCTCCCTCTCTCAGCTCCTGGGAGATGCTGCCAACTTGGTTTATTATGCTTTGACAAGCCGCTAGATCGATTTCAACGTCATCTACGTTGCCAGGCAATGTCGAATCATCTCCTGGACCACAGACATACACTTCGTTATCCGGGCGCGCATATATCTCGGGAGAGGCGCTGAGAGAATGCGGAAGTAAGATTTCTGTAAATAATACGTAGGGTGATATCGTAACACCGGCCTTGGGGTGGATGGTAACGCTGTGAGCGCGGGTGGCTGCAATTGGAAGGGAAGGTATGATGGATGGCGACCATGCTCCAGCCGATAACACTACATGCGTTGCAGGGAGTGTTTTAATGCAATTGGAGTCAGACCGATCACGATAAGTGACGCCCGTGACACGACGGTTAACCTGCTCAACAGAGACAGCAGTCCCCTCTACCAATTGAACTCCTTGCTCCTTCGCGAGGTCGAGCATACTTGTGGTGAATAAATATGGGTGAACCTGTGCTGTCCCGTCTGGACCAGACATTGGGCTGTATGACGTGGTTAATTCCTCCTTGACCCAATTTAAGTCATCAGGCAGCCCTTTGGCCGCTCTGCTTTCCGGTGCCACAGCACTAGCGTCGAAACCGAGTGTCTTCTCCAAACTTTTGCGTTTACCTCCCTTGCCAACACTAGATCCACTCTCGCCAAACGCCTCCCCCTCCCCCTCCCAACTACCGCAACCAACGAATCTCCAGCCCCACCTTTCTGCACCGTTATGCTCTTCAGCGAGCTTGACGTGCTCTGGAAATGAGATATCTACGATTTCACGTGGATATGCCCATTTAGCAACCAATCCACCAGCCTTTCCAGAAGCTCCTTGCGCTACCCCGTTTGCCGAGGCTTCGAGAACTATGATATCTGTTGTCGAGGTGGAATATGATGGGTGCCTGGACAGGTAGTAAGCAACGCTGCATCCTGTTGAAGCCGATTAGAGGGATAAGCGGCTGTGGAACTAGTAGTACTACGCACCAATGATTCCACCGCCGATAATAACAATGTTACGTTGTTCTACCTTATCCATTGGTGTCCTTCTGATAGTGATGAGAAATGAGGTAAGTTCAGGTCGGCCTAGATCTATGGTGTGGACTTGGAGTGAACATTGATGCGGTTCCAACCTGCCAGTAAAGACATAATTTCTAATAGTGCTTACTATTAGTTAACACGAATGGTCGGGTTTGTCGGATATGGTTCTGATTTGTTCCCACGCATCGATATCTCCTTCTTTATCTACTACTTGTATGACTATTATATTCCATAGCTTTGGGCCCCTGTAGATGCTTGAGACGTGCAGAACGACGGGGACGTGGTGGTCGCATGATTTTCGAAGTCCGAAACGATGCCGAGCTTGCCGCATGTTCTATGCATGGTGGCTGTTCCTGCACGAGACTAGGCGAGCTTTTAATTTCTTACTCTGAGTCCATATAGTACTGTTGTACTCTGTCTTCAACCGAGTAACTAATAATGGTTCGGAGGTAGCCTCAGACAAGAAGTGCATTGGGATGGCCCACACGACTCTCGTCAACGTGACATACTCAAGAACACCACATCCTCAGGCTGATCCATTCGGCAAAGCTTCCCCGGATCTTGGTCCGAACGATAGGACGGCCTAATAGCATTTTCTCATTTGGAGATACCACCGTCCCGACTAATTTTATCAGCTCGCTCCTGGTTCTCACCTGGTTGTACCGCCTTTGACGAGTCATCGATTTGCTGCAAATTCAATGCAGGTATTGTTCGCGCATCCAGGTTCTTGCAGTTTTCCTCAACGACTAGGGCACCAAATATTGAAGTTGCTTCTTCCATATCTGATCCGCTTTCAACAGGCTCTGACATGGATTCGACTCGTTCTTGAAATAGTACCCGACCGTTCCAGTGGCTCCACATCATGCACCACTGCCGGTGCGCTCAGCGGCAAAGGCAAAATCCTTCGTTCACAGAGTGAGCGCTGGAAGACTCCTCCATCACGCCATCGGCTTCATCACCCCTTCAGTTCATAACCTGGAGTATCATTAGTCGAAGTTCAGCAGACTCAACACACCAAATCTCTCTCACTTACGCGTCCCTCATCGATATCATTTACTTACTATCATTTGATTGATTTAGACCTACTCTTATCTGCAACAATATATGTCCTCTCACATGCTCCACTTTCCCGATTTCTGAATCCTCTGCAGATCGTCGTGGTGGATATGGCTTTATGGGACACTCTCACCGGTGAAACGTTCGGAGACGTGGTTTGGTCATAATGACCGAAACAAACTCCGAGTCGTCCCTAAGCATTTCTCCTAACCGTTTGATTTAGAATCAGGGAGCCACGTTTCCGCTTGATCCTGTTGCTTGAAAACATATTTATTGTGCATCGCGCACTAAGCTCGCATTTTCCTCTCCATGACGGCGAAGAGGTGACTTTACAGACAGGACTTCTCATACGTCTAACGCGAACGAAATATATTGAGTACATGGTATATCACAACCGCGACTCTCGGCATATGCCCAGTGAAACGATACGACTTATAATGAATGAGCGGTGGTTATGAGATGCAATAAACCGCGAACCACAGCGCGATTTACATTTTTCGAGGTGTTGTTGCTCCCAGGCATACACCATCACCGGGAATATAGGTATGACAGACGTATATACAGCAGCTATATCGCTCTAATATAAATATAACATCGATTGCGTTACGATGGAACCTCCATTCCTCACGTCCAACTGTCGTCTGAATCCTTCTCCCATCGCTCATCCAAATCGTGGTCGCCAGCTGACTTTCGAAGCGCCCATAGTTCTTGCAATGCGTCATTCAGTGCTGATAGCGCTGATATCATAGCAATATCGGGATCGTCGTAATGCCCACAGTAATAGTCATACCATTTGAAGTCGAATAGAGTTGGAAATACCTCAGCTAGGAAATACGGTATGCGTGCAACTTCCGACACCTGGGAGTACCCGAGATGGAGGTTGCGAAGGGCGGTTTGCGTAGGCCAAAGCTTCTCTGTCCCGTCCGGTGCTCGAGGAATTATCGTCGATTGCGTAGCATCGACCGTCAGATGTAGGGTCTGCAGCGATCTGCACCTTGACGCCAGTGACATCATGGCGGTGAAGGTGACGCTATCTATGGCACGTCTCTTCCAGGAGGTGAGCTTCAATTCCCGAATACTCGGCCAGGCATCTGGGACATCATAGAGGAACCCATCGTCAAGGTTGAAATTTCCAACGCCGACGAATTTAACAGACGACAGTCTGTTGAACTTGAACAAGGGCCGGAATATTTCGGAGGAGAGTGGGATGATGAGCAGAGGATCAGGAATTTTCGATTCGTCGATCACATGGACCCGTTCCAAATATCCACCAGTTTGGCACGAAGTGGACAAGGATTCTATGAACGCGGTCATTTCGGCCGGGCTAGCAGATCCGCGGTACCTGATATCGATGTGTGATAGTTTTGGGGTGGTGACTTGACGAAGGAAGTGCGTGCACTGTGGCAAGGAACCATCAGAGAGATGAAGGGTTTTGAGACTGGGCAATTCAAGGGGTATACCACCCGCATCGCAGGAGGTTCCGCACAACTTGAGCTTGAGGCTTTGAAGACACCATGCTTGCTGGATATTGGCTATCGTCTGCCTCGTCAAGCACACATCGATTCCGAAGATGGCCAGTCCAATTAACTTTGGCAGCTTTCCAAGACTCGGAGGGACTGTCAAAGCCATAGTACCATCGTCTGCCGATACTGTCAGTTGGCGCAGACCGTGCGCTTCTGCGGGAAGAGTAGCAAGCAATTGCTCTGCTTCATGCGTCGGGATGTCAATTACATCAAACCGGAGCGCTTGCAATCCAAGCGAAATGAACTTCCGAAGCAGCCAGTATTTAGAGCTACATTCCAGAAGACTAAACACGGCATCGAAATGCAATTCGCAAAGGTTTGGGAAGAGTGTGGCGGGACGGGACCAAGCAAAAAGCCTTTGCAGGACATAACCACTGACATCTAGGTCCGGGATAAACGATTCACCGCGAGGTAGCTTCAGCACGTCAGTGAAGCCATGAGGGCCAACAAGCCGGCGCACTCTTGATGCGTTCTTTCTGAGGCGCTCCCACTCAATGGGAGTTGGATCTCTGGAAAAATGCTACAAATCGAAGCACGGTGAGCATTGTCCTGTCAAGACTCGAATATTGTGCTTCACTTACAACAATATGACCCAGCTCGTTCTCCGTGACTTCCCAGGTGTCTTGCGGTAGACACATGATGAGGGGTGCCAGACTTGACTGTTCAGCCCAGAGGATATTGAGGGCGGAATCCGCCAGCCTGGAGCATGTCATTGCCACGTTCACCAAGTCCGTCCCAGAGGACTTGACGTGTTGTAACACGGCATATATGATATCGTCGAATTCAAAGATACGATGCATGATTGAAAGTTGTTGTTGGTGCTCAAGTACAATACCTCTTTTATATAGCCAATCCCACATGAATCTACGGATACACAGGTCTTCCGGTGTTTTTGTTTCGGGTGAGTGTGTCCACTTATGGAGGTCATGGCGCCATTGGCTCGATCGGCAGCTCCCTTGTGAACAGTATGAGTCATAGGACATTGTTCCGCTGACACTACAGCTGTGGTCCACCACTGTCGCTAAAACAGCATCTGTTGGCTAGATGTAGAGTGCTTACAATACGGTGTTCCCTGCAGAATAACCGGAGCAAAATAAACGCAATGGTCATCCACGTCAAAACGTGCAAGCCTTACCAAGTATGTAGAGTAACTTTAGGATCAGAGCGCCGATAGCAACCATATGCTGAGCACTTTGTCTCAGCGCCAGTGCCTGATGATTGTCCTCGGCATTGCCAGCCAAAGAGGTTTATGGAGGTCTAAGCAGAGATTCGATGTCTTGACAGATGGTCACTGAAGCTCAGACCATCGAGATAGTTCACATGAAGAGAACATGGCTCGTAGTAAGACTTCAGCCACAACCAGCTGATTATTAACAAGAGCACAAAAGAGATAACTGGGACGCCCATTATTAGGGAATGGGCCTCAAAAGCATAGCTCGCTTGATTTGAGATTGCTTTCTTTATTAACCCATGGGTGCCAAACCTGAACGTTGAACGTGAACGTTGAGCCCACATTTAATACTAATAAAGAAAGTAAACATGTCAAACCAGGCACGCACTCACCGCAAAGAGCTGAACAAGCCGGGTGGGGTGCAAGACTCGAAGGAGTGTAATACCGAGACTGATTCGAGTGAATACTTACACGGAAGGAGCCTCATGAACGATTGTTGAATTGGCTGACTATGGACAAAGTTCCTAGCGATTACATAATAATATACCGGGGTTGTGCTCCCGTGGAAAAACCAACCCACTACTCAAGCTTAGCGGGAATTATCATCGACTCTCTTATGAAACTGACAGTTCACAGCTACATTTATGATGAAGGGCCAATGTTGTCGCACTCTGCTGCGACACTGGAGCTCGGACGCGACCTAGTTCATGCAGCCTCATCCAGTCTTCGATGGAGAAAACCGTCTGTCTCCTTTAACAAACGACTGTTCGGTAGGCCGTTTACAAACCAGTGGCCTGCTCTCTTATTAACTGTCAGCAGCACTGAAACACGACCGACTATATCAATTCAGCGTGAGCCCACCGCAGGTTGGTATACCGGCGCCTCAAACACATGCTCTTAAGGACTGGGGGGTTCCCCCGACTGATGAAGAAGCATTGGCAATTGAAGCCCTTGAGGAGTTTATACATTTCAAGTGGGGAGTCCCCTATGCTCGTGTTGCCCGAAAGCGCCCTGCACTGCAGGATTCACGCTCAGACATCCATGATTCACAATCGCGACAGACCGCGCGCTCTTCAACATACGAAGTGTCTCTAGAACCACCCACAAAGCAACCCAGATATCATACCGCCTCTATTTCAAACTTGATACCCCAGGTTCTTGAGAATTTGTTCAGTTTACCTTCACTCCGGCTTACGATTTGCAGCCTCATTATGTCCCAGGTCCGCATGTTGGTTTTCAGCCGTTGGACAGCGAGCACCTCAGGCCTTACAGAAAAACTCGGCCATCACTGATCGCACCGTTTGATCTCGCCTCGGCTAAGCTTTTCTTGAATAGTATTTACAAGAGGGCGGCATGGCTTATTCCTCTACGTGGCATCGTACCATGGGACGGTGCTACCTGTGCCACCATCCTGGAATTTCCGCAAGTTCCACAGGGAGATGATACTTCTCCGCTCCCCTCTGGACCTGCACCGCTATGCGACGGAACCTCAGGAATTACTTGGACTCATAATTCGATCGTGCACTTCTGGCATTTCCTGATAGCCATTCAGCAAGCTGAAAATCTTGGGTCCATCTCGATTGTCTTCCATAGCGCACTGTCGGATACCGCATCTACACTTGACAGTGCACTCGGCTTAACGTCAGGAAGTGGCAATCGGCCTGTTCAACCTGCACAAGCGAGGAGATCCGCTGATCTTTCCGATAGCTTTTCGGATAAGGTCCGTCAACTGGAAGCAATGGACTTTATCAAGGTGTATCATGATACCAAGTACTCGTTTTACCTCCGAAATATTCTGGACGCCTACAGGTACATTCCTGAAGAAACCGTATCAGACTCGGAGAGAAGAAACCAAGTAGCGGAATCAATGACGAAGATCAGACTACTAAAATTAGCACGACTCGTAATTGTCGACGACCGATTCAGAGCTGTCTTATTGTCCTGATACGCTGTGCTGAAGAGGTCATTGTCACTCCTTGCTATCTAATCCCATGCAAAGATGTTGTCTGCCGTATCATAGTCAAGTGATGATGACGCAACCGATTCACATCTACTGACATTCATACTTGGATCCTTACAGTACGTTTTCCGTGTCCAGTGTTGATCACGAAGTGCTGATATTCTTGCTACAGGTTTGTATTGCATACGGTTACGTGCCAGTCTGCAGAGGTCTGCCGGACAACAGCCTTCAATCGGCATGACATGTTGGGCCAGGGCTATGAAAAATGGTCAAGGGGTTGATTATCTATGCAACCGAAGTCTCCCACAGTTCTCAGCGTTCACCGTGTTATCAAATGACACCTGTCATCAACGTTTTTCTCATGCGGTGTCAGCCCTCCACATCCTGATTTGAGACCCTGTACCCTCGGATCTGTGGCGAATACTCGATGGATTAGGTGAATGGGTCTGCTTGAATCCAAATGTTGATGGCTTCTTACCGTTACTTTTGGACCCAAACATCATTATCAACTAGCTTTTCTTACTCTGTCTCACTCACATACATCGTCCCATCAATACCACAATGGATGGTACAAAGGACGTGGATATTTGATGGAATTGAGGAGTAAAAAAATACGCATCGGTCAACACCATCCTGTAGTCTACGTTCTATGGCGTTATACACACCTGCTCCTCCTTGCTTGTTATGTAACTCAGAACACCTAGATCTTACGATCAACGGACAGGGTCTTGACCCTGCTGATACATTTGCTGAAACTGAAATAGTCAACCAAAACCAATTTTGCTATTGGTTTCCTAGTATGATCCCAGTAGTGAAGCAACCAGTCTGCCTGCCCAAATCTTTTTCTCTTTTGAATTCGACTTCTGAATACCATTTTATAAGTATCCCAGTAATTTCCCTGCTCCCCGTAAGTGTCCCTCCAGTGATGTCAATCGCATGGAACATCTCCCGCTCTACACATTACCGCTGGTTGATACCCGTATGCGCTCCTGGAAAGCAATTGAAGTCATGGAGGTTCCTTCGTCGGAGCTGGCTACAAGCTTGGCGTGAAATTTTCTAACGTTAAAGATAAGGCGTGGTCCCAGCACAAACATTTGCATGACCAAGAAAATTTGACGAAGACCACCATATGTCTCGGCTTCCACAAATGAGGCCTACATAAATGATGAACAATAGCAATAGTCGTCAGTGACAGAACGGCGTACCAGGAGGCTCAGACAAGAAACAGTAAAAAAACTAGCACGTGCAGAACTTCAGCAAGAAAGGTGACCGCAATGAAATTACTAGCTCACCTTGCAAAGTAAATTAGGTGAGTTTGTATCAACACCGTGAAGCTATCCTTGATGATCCCTCTTCCCGCCGGCATTTGTCGCAGTTCACGGAAGTGTTTCACCGCAATCCAGACTGCAAGACACAGTGCGAGAATCTCCCATGCAGCGGTGAGTGTCCAAATCATTGCTATCAGAAGCGCGACGTCTTCCTCCAAAATAATAATGCACTGATAAGTGCCAAAAAGAACGGTTTCCCCTGGAATGTTTCCAATGAGCCTAGTGTATCAAAGTCATTCGTCCATGATTACCCCCTGAAATATGTTTTAGTGCCACTATCGCGATCACCACGCAGGCAATGGTGATAGCCATAAATATGACAACAAGAAAGGTAAGTATCTTGTTCGATCGCTGATACATTGCATGTAGCCGAGTGATCATGATGACTTGCACAATGTTTGAGTCACTGAGACTATATAATACCGAAGTAGCTCACCGCTCACCGCGCAATTTATGACCACAATCATCACAAGCCGTGTGAGGAAGAAAATTCTGCCTGAAAACCATAGTTAGTGTGCGTCTTGAAGGGCAAAATGATCCAACAAAACTCACAGCTATTGGAGGAGTTATTGAATTCAATCAACACTCCGGTCAAGAATCTCACTCACCCCTACATAGACGTCCAATCAGTTTGAATGGGGGTGGCAGGTGTTAGAGCGGAATACTTACTGTATTTGTCACCGAGATCGATGGAATATTTTCTATATGCCACCGGTCAGAAGAAACAAGGGCAGTGCATGCGGGGAGGCATACGCAGCAAGTTTATTCTAATTGTAAAAAGAGATGGCTCGTCAGCGCAGCACCAACTCGTTGAATTTCACGTACACAATATATGGTATTTCAATATAGCGCACCTAGAACATTTAAGTCAGCTTAAGGTGTCAATTGCACTTATAACATAAGCTACAGACGATGAGATATAAAATAGTCATGAGGGACCAGCGTTGCTTCTGCGCCGAATTAATTATTGCGACCTTCTGATATGGGTTTCTGCTTACCCAGACCAGTTCAACCTATAACGCCGTTCTAAGCAAGATGGCTGCTCCGGTGATAGAATAAACCCACCTCTTGCCCAGATGTAAGGGCTGGAAATATCATAAGTATATAAGTGGTCCTTCAGGCAGATTTGACACTCTCTTGCTCACCCCAGTCATATATCGCAATAGCAGAGAAGGCAACTGCAGGATCACAGTGAATGTTTAATCAGCAGCAGCATCAAAATGGCGCTTCACGAACCTATCCAATAGCTCAAGAAAAAATTCGAACTGATGAGCGACCACCGACTTGAACTATTATCATCTGAGACTAGGGTCATATTCGAGGGATGGGTATCAGTGGCGGATGTAAACGGACGATGTTCATGTTATAATAACCGTTGTTAGGTCCAGCGCCTTTATCGCTAAGGTAGTAAGCATGATAGGAACGTACTATGAATATCCGTTTCTGTGTTGATTGAGTAGAATGCACTGATCCATGTCATATAGACATCAATATATCAAACGGAACAGCTGTAGCACACCTATGGTGCGTTATCGCTGCAAGTGTGGGTAATGTATCCTCTGGTGTCTGCGTCAATAGTAAGGCATTACCGAGATGCCATTTATGCTCTTACATTATGTGCCAGCCACCTTAACGCTGCGAACGGTCACTAGGCCATCCATAGTCTGCCGGCAGGACAGGTGATATCGTCCCGCGGCTTATCATGCCCAGCTTTGACCTCCATCACCGCAGCACCTTCCCTCCCACGCACATCGCCTTATAACTGTCTAGTGCCATTACTAACCACACAGTCCGCAGCAACTGGCAGTCGCTACTACCTACTCCTTGCTGTTACACCGCTCACCTTCGTCACCGGCTTGACGTGCTCGAACAGTTGGCGCATTTTCATACATTCCCACCACTTCTTGGCAGTATGTGGGATCGTTTATAATCGATGATCCATGTAGAGTTGATGTAGAGTGGGGAGTATGGAAGGAAACTGGTCCTCAATTGATCTGGCAACTTTCGAGTTTTGAACTTCGACATGCAACAGCGTAATTCTGCGGGTCGAATACGAGTACTGCGGATAATCCCAACCTTGGCACCGATTGCATTCCAGAAAAAACAAGCGATCCCTGAGACAAACACTGAGCACTGTGCCTAGGGATGCGTTGGATGAGCGTTGGATGCTGAGCCACAACCGAGGAGCAGAAATCTTGGCAGAAGCTTTAGAAGCATTGAAGATTCTCGAAACTTTTACTATGGATGAGCTCGAACAACCAAGAAGAAGGATGTATAATACGTGCAATTGCTCCTTCTATCGTGCACCATCATGATGCAAGCTGCGCTACTAACCAGGTTGCGAAGTGCAATATAGTATCACGTGACCAATGAAGTTCTCAGGCTTTACGAGCTTCACACCTTGTGCACATGCCCTGGATGTCGACGATCATCGATCATCACCGGCACCGACTAGCAGCATCAGATAATTATCCAATACTTATGAAGGTTTTTCGTATCATGAAAACCACATGCGGTCAATAACTCAATACAGAAATCGTAGTATCGCGACCAACCGTCATGCGCACGCAGATTCAGACGTTTTTATCCATTTTCGTCTTTTCACTGAGATTTCTACGCGCTTTGTCCCCATACTACGATACATGCAAATCGAATACAAGGTGCAAGACCTCCGTATCCTCCTCCCTCTCGAGCCCGCGTCGACTGTGGTGGACACTGATTTTGCTCTTGCGACATTACGGACATCCGAGAACAAACAATAATATCGCATAGCACGTTAGGTGCGGAAACGAGTTCAGGAGCAGGTAAGAGCTGACTCGTATCGATTTATTGTCTTGATGTGAATGATTGGTGGCAGAAATATCATGAGCATATTTTGAACCTAGGGCTTATCGACTGCCCGCATCTACTCACCCAAAGTTTTGGATTGTGATTTCTGTAACTCGTGGTTCTTTCATTGTGAATGGCGCCGAATAGCCAAGTGTCCCAAATGCGATGCGCATTCTCTGCATTCCTGACGGAGTTGTTCCGTGGTTACTGGAACTCAACCTACCCTTTCGATTGGAGTCATGTCTGCTGAATTTGTCAATGATGCGGCGCAACCTGCATGGCATTGCCAAGTCTGGACATGTGACTGCTGTACACCAAGGACCGCTGATATGGTTTGCTGTTGTCCACGCTGCGATAATTTCTCATGCATGATTAATGGTTGTTCCGAATGTAGAAGCTCGGGCCTTTGTGACGGCTGCGCTGGGCCGCTGGAGAAGCATCAGAAATGTAACAGATGCCAAACCTATGTCAGTGTTATCTCCATATGCAACAGCTGTATACATTCAGACTCGTGAAGAGTGATAATCGTACAACTTGCGAAAAATTTCTCCGCGTATGTACCAATGATACGTTGGTTTGCGGTCCATGTTCTTGATCGTTGACTTGCAAGTAGTATGAGTAAATATTTAGCACTTCACTAATTGTCTGCAGCTGCAGTATTTTCTTATGTAACTGTTCAGTAGATAGATATTAATTAATGTGTAACACGTAACGTTATCGTAATCTCAAGTTGTCACAATCGTCCATGTTCTCAGACGTCATAGTACAGTAAGTACCACCGCGGGACTCCTAGCCACGAATCTTGTGGTAGGGAAGCGATGCTCTTCAATAAAGATCACATTCTCATCCTAATGTGTACGTACGAGAATCCTCAGCATGAGGTCTTGTTTTTGGGGACCTAGCAACCTGACACACCCCGTGTAAGCCTCATCTCCGACCGTACAAACTAACAAGCCGATGGCGAGGTGAGTAATCACTGGAATTTCGATTTACATCATGAGCAGTATTACTACATGTCTGAAACCATTTACAGCCGTAAAATGCGGCTTTTTAGGCGCTGGCTGCACTTGAGCCCTTGACTGCTAAAATGGACTTAGACACTGATCAGGAGGAAGCTCCTCTTCTCAGGAAATCACCGGGGACAGCCACTATGTATGCCCTCCCAGGCTTGACAACAAGGATCATACCGTAAACGGTCCTGCGTTACCGGTGAGAGATTATGATGACACGAGGGGGCCACGCTGCAGCCTTCTCTTCCCCACAGGCGCTCTCCTGTGTTATCGAATGGTACATAAACACACGTTCCGTGTCTGTTGTTTCTCTGCGATCGATCACCGACTTCAAAACCACCTTTTCCTTGTCCAGATTATCACATTTTGCATATATGCATGACCCATCGTCAGCGTTCACCGCTGAAGACCAACAACGCCACCCGTACATTTCATCCGTTCTCGAACCCAGCACGCAGAAAGTGGTCGCCACTGCTGGCGTCCGAATATACTATGCGCCTTTCAACAATCCTCATCTAAACTGGAGCTACTCTAAGCTCAAAGGAATCTTGGTCTTCGGACGTGACCGAGACACACACCATGGCACGTCTCCTCCGAAGCGAGGCGGTCATGGTGTGCGTCTCAAGGAGAAATACTGGTTCCGTCTCGTTGACATGAAGACCGACCGTGTGGTTTGGACATTTTCCATCCCCGAGGTCTTCGAGTACACGAAAGACAAGCCTTTCTTTCACTATTTCTCCGGAACGGTACGTCCGTTACCTTTTACCTCATTGCAAATAAACTGAATTCTGCGTCAGAGTCGCATGTTCGGACTTTGCTTCGACGAAGACGAAGAAGCAAGCGTCTTCTACAAAAAAGTCTCGGATCGGACGCGGCATCATTGTGAGCTTCAATGCTCGCCCGTGTTGCCATGCCATAACACGTGTTTTAGTCTTCCAACCCTTCCTCTTCAAATCCAGCAAGGACAAGAAAGAAAAAAAGAAGGCACCCAAATCTTCTTCAGTGAGCCCTCGGATAATCTCCAGCCCCGCGCCCCACTCCTTTGTCCATGTGGCCCATGTCGGAATCACCACTAGGGGCATCATTGAATCTTCCAAGAATATCAAACCCGCCTGGTCGACGCTGATGGCAGACCTTCAGGGTCGTGGGGTGGCACCTGAGATCGTCAAAGACGACAAGGATTTTGTGGAAGGGTTTATTGCGGGTGCTAAGGCAATGACGGATAAACCAACGGCTGTGCAGCTCCAACGTTAGTCCTAGTGCTCCCGTTTCTGGAAGTTATCTTGCTGATGCCGGACCTGTGTAACAGCTCCAACTTCCCCAGTGCCACCCGAAAAGCGCAAAATCCGAAGAAAAGCTGTTACCATTTTGTAATGCGCCCTTCCGTTCCGTTGTCACACTTATCTCTTGGCAATCCTTGGTCTTTCCTATGGTACTTTTGACTCACTAATACATTTGCTTGTGATTCTTGAATGATGTCTATGCATTATTTCTTGTCATCGACCACATATTATTGGCACTGTGTAGCAGTAAACATAACAACACGAATTCTTATGTATGGTAATATCTCTAAGTCTATGCAGTCTGTTATCAAGTCAGGCGAGGTGGCCGCCGCGACAGATAATGACTCACCTATGAGTGAAATGAGCGTGGTGTAGGTGGCGCAGCCATGAAAATCAGAAGCGCGTCAGATCGCGGCCGAAAATCCCTACATTATGTATTAGCACCATAATATCACCGGAGTACACGGACAAGAACATACAATTTAGGAACCTGTACAAGGATAAGATGAGATCGCGGAATATCAATCGGAATGACGCAAAACTCACCAATATGTAGGCACTAGAATTCTAAGCAGTATACATCAGACGCTCCATAATCAACTGCGAAAATGGAACCACGTACTTGTTCCTGATGCTAAGAGTCATAGTGAAATACGCCGAACGCCATAGGAGCCACGCTACACGTCCGGTCTCCTTAGTCTTGACAGTTTCGGCGCTTGATCGATCATAGATTGCTTTCCTGTAGAGCCGAATCAGAAATATTCACCTTCTGATGGACCGCCACACACCAGTCCCCCAGGTAAGCTAAGCTTCCCTGGTTTTGGAATTCAAAGGGTTTTGTGTGCTCCTGATCTTTGACAATTTTGTTAAGCTTCTGCGCCAGGTATTTGCCTTTCTGATTCGCGACTGTAAATAGGCGTTATCAGGATGAGAAGCCCGCAGCCCATGAGCGCCAAATAGGGTTATGGGCAAACAGACCTTGTGCTGTGGCGGGATGGAGCTGTCCTTTGATGTTCGCAGCGTCACCGATAGCCCAGACATCTGGATCTGCGTGGCCTTCTTTTGTTATGACGTTAAGGTTTTGGTCAGTGAAAAGGCTAGGGACAATCACATGTGTCAGCTTCACTTCGCGGCTGATCAAGAATGGCTGCGGACCCTTGTGTCTTATCATGTTTCTCAAGAGAATCAATCGACTGGATAAGCGGATTAGGAGCCAATCCAGTACTCCAAACAAGGAGACCAAATGGAACTATAGTAGCCGTAGTGAGCAAAAGTTTGAACTAAACAATTAGTAGCGTTGACCACGGACCTTCTCCTTGTTCTTTAACGAACATGCGGTCCTGTATGATAATCAGCGTCGAAATTTGGGATAACTGCACCGCGTTATTCGAACCTTCTCGACACGCTCCACATGATGTCTTGTTTTAATGCTAATACCGTCTCTCCGGAACTTGTTCTCCGCATATCTATCGGTTCAAAGCTTGTCAGTGATAGCGGAGAAAAACAAAGGCTACCTACATTCCCAGGGACTTGTCAAAATTACCGAGGATGTTTGGCGCTACGTCGTAAAGTGTGATTTTGGCCATACGTGCGAGTGTCGGATAGTGTCTCTGAATCTCAGCATGCAGCAAATCGTGCAACTCTGCTGAGAACTCGACACCCGTGGGTCCACCACCTATAGAGTGTTGTATCACCATAAAGGATCAAATGTCATCAGAAACCGGATGCTTACCGACAATGCAGAAATTGAGCAAGTTTCGGCGTTGGACGTCAGAGAGGACAGGCTGATTGGCCTGCTCGAAACCTATGTAGGGTAAGCAATGTCTATGACAACTAGTAAGTACACTTACAATCTATAATGCGCGTCCTAATTGCTCGAGCGTCTCGCACGTCTTTCAGGAAATGTGCGTGCTCCTTGACGCCAGGTACGTTGAATGCTATCATCAATTTTATCAGAATGATACGTATCATGACACGATTCACGTACTTTGCGAGTAAGCACCGACAGCTATCACTAACTTGTCGTAACGTAACTTGAACGCATTGCCCGTACCCGGGTCCGAAGTGTCTTTTGCGGTTGTCCCCGCAAGAGGGGCAGAGGTGGATCCTTCATATTCCAAAGGAGCCGTGGCAGGCGTCTGTAATATGCTGTTTAGTGCACCATGACCATAGGCTTTGGAACGAGTACATACGCATTTCAGGGTCTTTTGCTTGAAGTCTGAACAAACAAAAATCAGATCCCCACGACGGTCAAAGAAAGCGTAGACAGACCGATTGTATCACACCAGGCCTGGTAACAAACCTAGAAGTCAACCATGTATTAGTTCTCGGTGGCATGCGAACCAATACATCTCTAGATCCGACTTACTACTTGTGGAGAAAACTTCCGTACCTGACATTCATATTAATGGGAAGACATGTCACAAAAGTATGATGACATACCGGTTCGACTGCACAGCGGAATTCGAGGGTACCGACAGCACAGCTGGCGAGCAAAGGTGTAAAATTGAAAGCATTGGTTGGTGAAACCATCGTGACATCTGCAAACGGGGGCCATCAACACCACGTTCCCGCGAACGCAGCCAGAGACTAACTCCAACGCTTCTTATCAATAGCTCTTAAAATCTCATAGCCTCCCCAGCCTGAACCCAATATGACCAGACGTTGTTTGCTTCGTGGCGCAGACGAAGTAAAAGTTCGTGCTGCGGAGACCGACGATTTCGCCGGGCGAGGTTGCACACGACCACATGCAACACTCAAGCGCGCCTTGAACATGGTCTGGAGGAAGCGAAGACTGGAATTTCCTGTTCTTGAGCGACTAGTAGCTTTTAAATAGTTATCGGTGGTGGATTAGATAATGGCAGCTTGGGTAGTGGTGTCATTAAACTGGAGCCATATTTTTCAATCGGGTCATGTCGGGAGGAATTGGCGCCCTATTATCTGCGTCATTTAATCACCGAAACGCATAACTACAAGGGTCAGCATATGCTTAGTGCTAGTAGTAGTTCTGGTGTATCTGCCTGGCAACCTCAGACATCATGCGACTAGAAGCTGTACTAAGGACATAGCCACAGCCAAACGTGGCACGTATATAGACTCCTTGATGTGACGTCACGCGCCTTACAGGGGCTTGACTCGGTACCCAGTCAGTATCAGAGAACTGGAAACTCCAAGTTTTTATGAGAAGAAGATATAGGAAAGTATCGAAATATACAATATATGATCATGTAAAATATTCACTACAATCAGCTGCATAATCGCCAGCAAAAATCAACTGATTTTGATTAATAATTAGGTAATAATAAAGGTTATTCTTAGTGTCCACCATCAGTACTACTACCGCCTGCATGATGACGACGCCAGTAGCACCTCTTCCAAGTCTTCGAGTGTCTTCTCATTTCATTCCTAGCCTCAATCTCATCCCAAACACATCCCTGAAAAATTACCCTCTCCTCATATATCACGAATGTTTCCCACCGTCGATATCAGCTGCTGTTATCGAAGCCCATTTAAGGTCCATCGGCGTCGTCGAGCCCCAGTGGAGGTACACTATGTACAACACGACACACTTTCATAGCACTACTCACGAAGTACTATGCATCGCATCTGGTCGTGCGAGGGTATGTTTCGGTGGAGAAGACAATCCTGGAAGGGTAGAAACGGAAGTTAAGATTGGGGATGTCATTATTATTCCTGCAGGCGTGGGGCACAGGCTCTTGCAAGACTTGGACGGCGGATTCGAGATGGTCGGAAGTTACCCCAAGGGAAATGACTGGGATATGTGTTATGGTAGGGAGGATGAGAAGGCAAATATTGAAGCCATCAAAGACATAGCATGGTTTGACAGAGACCCTGTTTACGGCGACGAAGGACCTGCACTTCAGAGATAGTATATGGTGGCGTGTAACGCCGTGCATTCTGAATCATTCACTAAGCAGGAGAAACGAAAGAATGAGACAAGTATTAGCGACCTAAGAAAACCAGTGAAAGCGAAGTGTAGATTGTCTCCACAACAAGTATGCAGAAATGAAGACGCAACCAAATGCAGCATGCCCATCCGGAAAGTATATGATACAGTAGACCGAACATTCAATCACTGGCAGCCCAATTGCCGCTTGGCTTCTGCTTCTGCCTCGGTAACAACACGTCCCTCCACTTCTTTCTCAACCTCTACGCCAAGCTGATGTACACGGCCACGGTCCGCGCCTATGAGCGACACATATACACCTTTTTGTAGGACTGGATAAGAGCCTATCCGAATACCTTCAGGCTGTACTCGCTTTTGAAGGTCGGTGAGGAACGGGGCAATAGACGACTCGGGTAATCTAGAACCACAATCAGTAAATCATTACGAGTAGGGAGATGAAATGCTTACCCCGTGAACACTTGGAGCCGGAAAGGTCGCTCCTCTTCAGGTGGGAGAGGAAGGAAGGGTTTCAGGTTATCTAGCATCTTCTGGAAGAGGGTGGGTATCCCTGGAAATATGCAAAGTTTTCCTTGTAGGCGAACAACGGGCTTGTCGAAATCAGTAACCAGTCTTAGAGCCATATTCAAGCATGCTCACCACCCATATGTCGCTTGCAACGAAAATCACCTCCGCAGCATCAGGGAACAGTGCCATACGTTTCCGTGCCGTTCGCTGTTCCTCGCTCTGTTTTGATACCCAAGTTCGATATTTGCCAGACTCCTCCATACGAGCGAGAGTTTCATCGTGATATACAAGGCCCTGATCAAAAGACTTCGCCAAAGATGCATATGTTATGTCTGTGGGCGAAAAGACACGAGTGGCGTCATGGTCGTGTGCCTGAAATTATGTTCACAATAAACGTACCATCGTGGGTGGGCCCGATGCCGCCCGACGTCACTACAAAGTCGTACGTTTGCACCATCCTCCGGCTGGCCTCAATGCTGGGGCTCGCTGAGCAGCTGCGCCCCTGCAATATGAATGTTACAAGTGACGCACGTACATTTCAGCTTCATCATCTGCTATCACTTCTACGCGTTTCCTGCAAGTAGAATTGGTGACCAGTACACGGACTAGGCAGGGAGAACACTCACAAATGAATACCATGCTCAAAACAGAATCGTGCAAAGTAATTAGAGTTCCGGTCAAGCGTCTTTCCATTCAGAATTTCGTCCCTTTACAGTTGCTTTCAGTTTTCAGTTCGTCGACACAGAACACATACACACCCAATGATGAGCGCTGCAGCAGTCTTTATATGCCGTCCCTTGTCAGATGGATTCTTCTTTGGTACAGGAGAAATCGCAAAGTTCAACGGTGGTAGTTGAAAGGTTGAATTATCTGGCGGAACTGCTGTACATGACATTGGCTTCGCATGAGCGGAGAGAGGTGCTCGACGGAGATGGGTAGAAAGGGAGGCGAGTCTTGCTAACGTGCGAGGATGCATGGCTCATTGAGCAAAGAATATCATGCAGTGGGAATGAAGATGACGTTATTATAAGGTCCAGGCTTTGATTCACACTGGGACGAACAGCGCCGCGATTTTGGTCAAAACGAACAAGCCTTGTCGGTGACCTCGGTACCGGTGAAGCAGTTTGCAGTACGTGAATATCGCCGTTCTTAATATATGATTTCTTAAAATTCGGCTCAAAAATCCAGTGCACCATCATTTTAGAGAAGTGTTTGTTAACGTCAGTGTGATTCAAATAGATAATGCAACCAGACCGCTCAAGCGCTCATCCCTGAGTCTTTGGCGGAACTAGTAAGGTATATATGGTACACAAGAGGTAATATTTAAATAGAAAAAAAGACGGCATTAACGGGGCATCGCATGGCGCAGACTTCTACGGATTGGGCGTTTCGTGTCGGAAACTGCATCAGAATCAACAGTATCCTGAGATACGCGTCTGCGCTTCGAGGGCCCATCACGGGCAGAGCCTCCGCCCCGAGCAGAACTATGTCCAGTGGAACAGAAAGAGAACGAAACGGAGGGAGAAGACCCATCGGGCGCAGTATGAACGATACTAGATATGTCCATACGATTTGCGGTCCTGCCATCTTGCTCGTCGGAATCACGGCAACGCTTGCAGGACTTACGGGAAGAGGCCCTATCGCCTTCGTTGCTTACTGCAGCCTTTACGGCGTCAGCAGCAGTATCTGTCTCTTCCATCGGTGTGTGTACATCTGCGGGAGAATTCATCGCTGTAGAGATGTCTTCTTGGATCTGAGGACTCGCTGGGGGGGATGGGTTGGGAGTACCATAGAAAGCACCGTGGCGCCGGAGTCGGCTACCCCGCTGTGTTCTGATCGGAGCCTTCCATTGGTCATCATCAGTGGAATTGGCGTGCGCAATAGAAATGTTGCTCCTGTATGATGAGGGGTGAAATGCGCGTATGGGAGTTGTCTGGTAGGAAGGCAACCCTGGCACTGAGAAAACGCTTGACGATCTTTCTGGGTTCGCAGCAGGTGTCACGGGCCCTGGTGTTTCCAAAATGATAGGCGAGGAAGGTACTGCTGAGGTATCTTTCGCATCTTTCGCGTGGCTTTCCAAGAAGGATGCGAGAGATGATGCTAGTTGTTGCTGTTCCGAACGAATCTCCTCTATGATGGCTCGCTGTGCGCTAAGTATTGATTGAGTACTTTGAGCAAGTACAACAACATCATGGAGATAACTCACTCTAGTTTCGACTGCATTGTGTTGATCAATTGATCCCTTTCCTCGGTTTTCTCGCCTTGAGCGGACAGCATAAGAAGGATGTCTAGGAGCTTTGCCTCCTGTGCTAGAGAGATGTCCATGATATCCCGGACACCGGTAAGCACTCCATCCATGTCAGGGGATAACGACGACAAGCTGGGGGCAGAAGGATCTGTAGGTAAGAAGGACGACATCTCCAGGATCAGATATGAGTGGAATACTGGGTATGGAGAGCAATGGGTGATTTAGTGTTTTCTGTGGTACTGAATCCAATATCGCGCAGTCTGGACGCCTTAAATATTGCAAATAGACCAATGCTTTGGTCCCTCACGACATCAAGGGTAAACGCTTGGACGCATGCTTGGACGGCTCTTGCGTCAATGCAAACTATGCGCTTTGACGACTTGCACTGAGAAGACCGCCCTGGGGCCGCCTGGGCCTTGGCCATAGGTTGCCCATAATTTTGAACCTAATCATTGTCGCATCATCCTGCAGTAAGTGAAAGTCAGAGCTACACGCAGGTCTGGCCTAGGCCATATACATGTCTGGGGAGATTTCTGGCGCGCGAGTTAAACTATAACGCGCAGTTGGAAAAGTTCCAGTTCAAGCGCCGCCCCCACTACCTACTTCAATACCCCCGGGCCGTGCAACCGGTATTTGCCTTCACCAGCAATATTCCGGAGCATGGCTGCAGAGCTGCAGATTTTCCCCAATATCATGAACAACCTACGATTTTAAACTACCTGCCGACGACGTTCGGCCCTGGCATTCTATACATAAAATATGAGATTTGGCCAGTCTGGGTCATATTACACATCTCCTGTGTTACACACTATTGCTAGTTGATACATGCACAGATTCTTGGAAAGCAATTGAAATCAGGTCAGGTCCTGCATCGAAGTCGATCATGAGCCTAGCGTGATGTTCTCGAACACCGAGGATCAGCCGTGGTCCCAGTACAGCTGACTGCACAATGTTGAATATTTCGAGAAAACCAAAATAAGTCAGAATTGCTGGGGAATATGGGTCCTGTGGGAAATGATGCATCGATGAAGCGTGGTTACATGCGGAGGTCAGTGACACATTGGCGTACCTTTGGCATCGTTGGCGAACAATAACTGAGGCATAAGCATAAAACTACAACGGAGCTGGTATGTGAAGAACTTCAACGGAAAATATAACCATGTTCACGTTACGCACTCACCTCACAAAGTAACTCATGTGAGTTTTCATTAACACCACGAAGCAGTCCCTAATAACACCTCCCGCCGAGTGTTGTCGCAATTCACGGAAGTGCTTTAGAGCAATCTGGACTGCAAGACACAGTGTGAGCACCTCCCACACACCGGTGAGTATCCAAGGGATGGTGCCCAAATATTGGAGATTGTCAGCAATGCACTGATAGGTGCCAGAGAGGATGGCTTGCTCTAAAATTTATTAATGAGCCTGAGGCACTCGAAGTTTTCGATCCATAATTGAAGCTTACCCGCTGAAATATACTTCATATTTATTGTGAGCATCACTATATTGGCGACAACGATGGCCGTGAAGACAACAACGAGGAGTACCAGAACCTTTCTGGATCGTTGATACATGGCATGTAATCGAGCAATCATGACGACTTTGCACGATATTTCAGTGAAGTCGAGGTATCGCAACTGTGTAGGCTCACCACCGAGTATTGCAATCAGGACCCACATCGTCCAATATAGCGCGAAGTACATGTAATAGCCTGGGACATCCGGTCAGCGATAAGCTTCAGAGGATCACATGCTCCAAAGAAACTCACAACTGTAGCCATCATTATTATGGATCAGAAAGCTGCCCGAGAATGTCGCTCACCCCTATATGGTAGTTGATTAGACGGGTATGGAAGGGAAAACATTACTACGGAATGCTCACTGCATCTTTCAGAGGTATTATCTGAACAGCCACTGTATGCCGCTGGTCAGAAGCAACAAACAATGCATGTGAAGAGACGCACTCTGTATGTTCACGCTGATGGTGAGAGATGGGCGATCAGCACAATACCAGATCTTGACTTTCCAAACATACCCAGCATATATTACTCCAACGTAGCGCACCTAGGATATCATCACATCAGCTCAACTTGTTAAGCACACTTATGGCATGGGCTACATACAGTGAGATACATGACAGTCATCAGGGACCAGTGTTGCTTCTGTCGCAGATTGATGTTATTGTTATGTCGTTCCTTTGGACATGAGGGCTCTCTGCTCACCCAAATCAATTCAACCTGTAACATTATTCTTAGAGATGAGACTGTTCCGGTGATGGCACCAACCTACCTCTTGTCCGAATGCAAGTACTGGAGAAACATCAGGTTATCAATAACTGTTTCATACAATCTTGCTCACCCCAATCGTATATTACGCCGGTCGAGACAGCAACTGTGAAAATGCAGCGAAGGTTAGATCAGTATATCACCATTGTCATCAGACCGGTTCTCTACTAGTACGTACCCATAAAATAGCTGAAAAGAATATGTGAATTGATGAGCGGCCACCAGCTAGGATCATTTGTCATACTATCAGAGGGTGCGAGCAAGTGAGCGATAAACTTGGTGGACGAATGACGATGAAATTCGTACCATTTATATCACCTTTTATTGTCAACATGGGTACCATGTGTATAATACCCGTCCATCACTTGGTTGTACTGAAGTAGGGGTTTTTGTCACGACTCACAGCCACGCACTGGAAAAACTATAATATACACCGGAAGTTGGAACGTTCAAACAAAAAATAGTGAACATCCTGATTTCGGCGGCTAACTTGTTTCCATTACCATTCATCCCGACTCATTTGCGCGCTTCTGGATCTTCCATCATGGAAAACTATACTAGTTCCCGTGTCTACTGTGGGTGGGGTAAATCATATCGCATCGCTAAAGAGAGTCAGAAAGTTTTGGCCTGGGGTACTGCGCGCAAACATACAGTATTTGGTCCACAGGGGCCGAGTCGTTCTGTTATACCGGCATGTTAAACCATACCGGGTAGGAACGTAGTAGTAGACGGTTCAACACTCCACCGACGTGATATGCCAGCTGCAGTGCACCATCACTAAACTGTATCAAACCCCGATGTAAGTTATGTGAGCCGGTACAGTAGATCGCCAAATAAAATACTGTACATTCATATCCTCGGGCCCGACATCCCAGGGTCACCGGGCTTTGTCAGATGAATTCGTTCGACCTAAGGCCTACTTATAGCCAAATCAGTCCGCAGTCATGCGTGGTCACCGGTCATGTCCCAAATAAGTACTAGTAGCTGTCGGGGACTCGGACTCGGACTCGGACTCGGACTGGCTGCTGGCACAACCGAGCGCCGTTATGATTATTGTGCCTTCACAAAATCTAAAGCGTCAGCTTCATTGAAGCAAATCTTAAACGCCTGTACCTTTCACGAGTGATCCACGTTATCAACCTATGCCTGTCAATTTTGGCCTGACCTAAATATTAACCGGCGAGTGACTAGGCGGGTTTTCACAGAACACTACCAGTGACATGCGTCACTATCAATCCAGCATTCCAGAACGTTAAAGACTTGAGCTGTGTGTTGCATCGTAGTTCAGTTGTCTGAACAGGGATGGAAGGCAACGGTGTGAGATACTCGCTGCATCTGTCATCGAAATTGTTGAAAGACTGACTGTATGCCTCCCGTTACAAGAAAGAAACAAGTCGATGCAACGAAACATACTCAACATCTTGATACTGATTGTGAGAGATGTGTAATGAGTAAAACACCAATGGCTTAGACGTCGAAACGTACACAGCGAATCCTATTGCAACATATCGTGCCTTGGACATGTTCGTGTCAGTGCAACCTGCTAACCATGCTCGAAATACAAGTTACATACAGTGAGATACAGAACGGTCATCATAGACCACCGTTGCCTCTGCTGCGAGTTAGTTGTCGCGTTTCTACATGGTTCTTTGAATGTGGAGATCTGCTCACCCAGACAAGTTCCACCTGTAAAACCGTTGTCAGCGACATGGTTGCTCCTGTCATGGTGTCGACCTACCTCTTGTCCGAACGTAAGTCTTAGAAATCCCATAATGACAGTGGTCTTTTCATACTTAATCTTGCTCACCCCAATCATACAGCACCGCAGCACAGGCGGCAACTGCGAAACCACAGCCAGGGTCATTCGAGTTATCACGGACATCATGCGGCTGGCTTCGAACAAACCTTGAAAATAGGTGGAAATAATATTCGCATTGATGATTGGCCACAAACTGGGATCGTTCGAGACTAGAGTCATACTATTGGAGGATTGGAGTGAGTTAGCGGGGGAACTTGGTGGTCGTATAACGATCGCATTCGTGCTTGTTGTTCGTGATTTTGGCAACATGCCAGTGCGATGCAATCTTCGGGCTGTTCTTTACGGGCGTATGATATTCAGCCTCAGCTCATCAACGACACCATGTACTATGTAGCTCATTGATCTAACACAGGTTTTGACACCGCTCACGTTGACCTTAAGCACTTTGGTCCGGTCAGCAATGCTTATTCCTTGAAATTCACTCTACTTACTTGATGCTGATGCTTGATCACAACACGAGCGAAAACCAACGACCTTTCTAATTCATGTAAACGCTGATAAAATGCAACCACAAGTATACACATGTGTTGTATCCAGTTTCCTGTAGAATATAATCAACGTGAGGTGGTCGTGCAAAGAAAGTTGGAGGTGATACAAATTGAAATGGGACGTCTGGGATGCGATGAGCGGAAGTTAGAAGTCTTGAACAGAGCACCTTCTACATCTACGTGCGTGTCACAGGAGCTTGCGAGGGTCAAACTGGATGGACACAGATGTTCAAACAGGAGTGCCGAACCTCAAGTTGGAATTCGAGGACAGTGAACATGGCTCTGAGAAGCGTTTGATGAGCTAGATGACGAAGAAGCTAGTGAATGTTCCGAATTGCTGAAAAGTCTGCCCGTCTGGATGAGAAAGGTTTTGAAAATGAATAGTAAGAAAAGTTGGTAGAGAAGGGAAGACGTACCAAGCAATGCTCTCCTTATAATCGGCCTTTGCAAACTGCTGTGAAATTAATGCTAGATTGTTTCACTCTGTTGCTCTTACATCTACCATGTCGAGCAATTAGTATCCATCGTGGTGATGGAATGGGGCCAATATTAATCATTTGGAATACCCCGGGCCCGGCTGTTCTTCCTTCTTTCGAACTCCGACTGTAGGTCGGGCAGAACTATCAAGTTGGAGTCGTTTTGAGAGACATTTGAAGTCGAAGCGGATAGTTGAGGGACCTCCATACTACACCGTGTCTTTTTAAGCTAGGTAGCCTTTGAGAGATATCTAAAATATGATGTATCATTCCGGAATCCGCATGTTGTAATAGTTTAGTCAAGTTTGCGCTTACATAAGCGACGTTACACTCACTGAGTGGCAGTGCGTGGTCCAACATTGGTAACTTGCGTTCAATTGCAACAAATGGCTTCAGATAGCGGCGAAGAGAAGACAGCAGAGGAAGGCACGATGACGATGGACGAAAGAAAAGCAAAAATGGAGCAGCTGAGAGCGAAGATGGTACGTGGTCCTCTGCATCACACTTCCTATCCCTCACCCACTCTTCCCCAGCGTTCAACGACGAAAGCGAATCGTGCCTCCCTCATTGAAGAGTCTGCCAAAGCAAAGATGACAGCGAGGGAGACTGCACGGCTAGAACGACAGCGGAAACTTGCGGAGGTGTTGCGTATGCAGACTGAAGCTGAGGATCGGGGAGAGGATGTGGAACGGCAGAAGAACTGGGAATGGACGATAGAAGAGAATGATAATTGGGAAAAGAAGAAGGCGAGGAAGGCACGGAGAGCGGATTATGAGTTTCATGGTAGGAGTCCATGTTATTCATTGCATGATGACACTCATCGTTCCTGTGTAGATGATGTTCACGCTGCTCGACGGCGCTACAAGAAAGACCTTGACCTCATTAAGCCTGACCTCACTACATACAGCCGACAGAAGGAAGCCGTATTGGGATTGGCACCAGGGTCTCTTTCAAAGTCTGGGAGCAACACGCCATCGTCGTCTGCTCTCACAACCTTTGATCCCTCAGGCGGGCAGGTGAGTGCTGTCGAACCTTTCATTGTATTGTATTTCTTATGATATACATTTTCTCAGGTGGTTCCATCATCTGAACAACGGATGGCTGCAGAGAGTTTCTACCGAGATGCCAACACTCTACTGTACGCTGACAACAAGCCTACTGAAGACGCCATCGATAGAGTGGTCAGCAAGATCAACAAAGAGTACGTTGTCACCCATTTGGCTCTCCCGTAGAACTGACATTACGCCATAGCATTGACAAGAAGGGCAAATTTTCGCGAAAGAGACTTAATGAGGATGAGGGCGACATTACCTACATTAATGAGCGGAATCGCGTGTTCAACAAAAAGGTATGTCATTGCACATCGTGTTCTTGGAATGAGCTCACGAAGAGTAACAGATTGCGCGGTACTACGACAAGTATACCTCCGAGATTCGGGCTAGTTTCGAACGAGGAACCGCGCTATGATGGCATGACCATGGACCACCAGGATGTTATACTTATTCGACCCCACCACTGCGCATGTATTCAGACCATATGCATTTACTCGCATCTTGTAACATTAAGATTTATACTATTGATGCGCTGCACGATACGACTCGGGACGTGAAGTAAACGGAATCAAAGCAGTAGATTCAGAGTGACAAGCCACGACAACATATTGATACATGTAAGACTATGAGGATAAGCAGACCGGAGGACGAAAATGTACGGTTGACGCCTGAAACAACGAACATTAGTACTTGATCAAATGACGGTCTTGGAATGCCTGATAGGTGTCAGAATTGCAGAAGTAAGGTAGTCAGCAGCTAGACACAGAGGTCCATAAGACTGTTGAGCTTGAATGTGATATTTGTTCATCAAAAGGAGCAAGCAGAATCGAACAAGGAATACGATGGATGCAGGATTACTTACTTGAAAGCTGGGGCTAACGGCGGGAGTCGATTGAACACTTGACGAAGCAGCAAGATGATTGCTTGAGCTCTGCAGAAAAATTTAAACCATCATTTTGAAACTCCGCGGTTCGCTTATCGCTTATCAATCATATCATCGCTGCAATCAGCTCAATCTGGAAACTGCATCAAACACAACTGAATGAGCTCGATACTCGCATTGACCAAGTCTACAAATTTCCATTCGACAAGATTACGCTCCTTGTGGAATGGGAATTTGATCACTATGTGGAAACGAAGTTTATTAAATCGTGCCCTTTGAAATTCTCTCCATAAATGTTTCCATCCAACCTGCCTATATCTTGCCCATGTGCATGATCTCTTATAATTTGCCAGATGTCGAGACAGATTCTGTGGTGGCGTTTTTTGAGATGCCATCACCGGGAGAATGGCTTCAAGTCGAAGCCATTCTGCGTCAGTACAACTTTTCGCCACATCAGTGCGTAATCCCACTCAGGCGTTGCCTGGGATACACTTGATGCACAATGTACGTAGTGCGTCGTCACTTTCTCGTCGGGATATCCAGTTTACTTTTTTTGCAGGCTTGTGAGTTGAAAGCGACACACACTGTCATACAGAATCTCCCAGGATGGCAAAAGATTCGGGAGTTTAAACTTGCGACAGCCTCCCTCAGCTTGCGTCTATCGCACATTTTTGATGTTGTAGTTATACAAGCAAGATCATAATCACAACAAGTATCCACTATGCACAACCGGCTGCGACATATGGACAGATGCAATGACCTATTACCGTTTGGCAACCACTGGTGTGTGCATACGGTGGTGTCCACCGACATCCAGCTTTGTCTGGCTCGAGAGTTGCTGACATGATCTATTAAGTTAGACCGAGCATTAACTCGGGGTGGGGCACAGGCAGGGTATAACAAATTTGTCTGTGGAGTGCGAGGCACGACGAACTCGACATGGGGGTAGAACGAAAAACGGATGAAGGAAGCGAGTAGTGGCATCGCTCAGCTGGACACATGGTGCCAACATGGCAGAACGTATCATTAATGGTGGTCCGCCAAAAATGAAATGCGGAACTGTAACACAAATAGCTCCTAATTAACCCTCTTAACCAGTTATAACCAACCAAGTTATTATCACTCTTTTAACGGTTAGTAACATCACTAGTGGCATGCACCGCCCCTACTCTACATACCTATTTTAGCTTGCAGATATCGTGCCAATGGGAGTGCGATGCCTGCCACCATTCGGCTGTTAAGCCGTGGTGAAAACTGCGTATACTAGTACCAGCCTAGTGTGGCCTGCATGATGATTGTAATTAATGTTCTAGAATGTCATCGGCCTGTCCTCTCGTAAATTACTTACGGGGACTCGGACTTGACTCGGACCCTGAGCTTTTCCTACCGCGTCAGTCAACCTTGGCGGAGCTGCTCACGACGATCGGCCCTCTCTCGGTAATGAAATCTTACACCGTGGGTAACGCTCAGATCAACCTCTTAACTGGTTACAACCAACCAACCGGGCTAGACTTAGTTAAGTTATAACTCTTTTAACGGTCACCTGGCATGTGAGACTCTATTACACTACATACCTGACATTTGCGCCACTGGGAAAGTAAACGTGTATGATCGCCACTCTGCCACCATTCGGTTATTGATATGTCAAGCCGTCACGACAATTAGTTATGGCCTGGTGACCCTACTAGTATGTCTGCCGTCCTCTCGTAAATCGCTTACGCGCGTCGCGGACCCTAAACCTTTCCTGATTTGGCCACCAACTTGCGTCGAAGGCCCCAACTTGAAGCTTGAAGTCCTGGACCTTCGCTCATCCGATCACGCAAAATCTATTTCTTGCAGCCGAATTGTCAATAAATTTGTCACAAGTCGCACAGAGTGCTCGGAGGCCAATCAAAGCACTTACGTACCTTACCAGGGAGTTCTGAGAAATAGAACTTTCGATTAACGGTAGAGCAGGGCCGTAGTCAGCTGGCTTTCCATCATGATACTATACCCAATCGGTGACTCTGACACCCAAAATGGCCATTGACAATCAGGGTCACCGCCTCTTATTCAGGTGTTAAAAAGACTCATGGACTTCTTAGACGCATACTGACTACCTTGGTCCTCTACATCCTGAGCTTAGCAGAGCCCTTCACACATCGCAAGTTGAGCATTCAAATCATGGTTGCTTCACGTCCAAATCCTGTCAATCCTCCTCTTGATGGTTCTCTGTTCCTCCCTGAATTGCTGGAATTCAATGCGCAACATAACTCGGACGTCACATTCTTTGTCTACAACAAACCTGACAACAACGATCTGGTCTATATCTCACATCGAGACTTTTATCGAGCTTGTCATCGTGCTGCACATCAAGTTAGACCCGATCGTGCAGGCATAGACAAAGAGGTCGTTGGCATCATTGCCAATTCAGACACCCTCCTTTATCAGACTGTGTTCATGGGTATCATCTTCGCTGGGCTGATCGTATGTGAACATTTTTTTTGCCCGAACATCATATCTCTGAACACTGCTTTTTAAGCCGTTCCCCATATCACCTCGTAATTCAGCGGCGGCGATCTTAAACTTGATGCAGAAAACAAACTGTCGTCGTTTAGTCACCACTCACCACTCTCTTGGTTCCCTGATCGATGGAATTAAGGCGGGTAGCGTATCTCAAGACACTGATGCGAGCCAACTGCAGCTTGACATGATGCCGACGTTGAAATATTTATATCCCATGCTTGGCACAGGTTCTCCAGACGAAAATTTTCTCCCATATCCTCCCCAAGCTTCTCGGTCATCTTCGGACGATATATTATACTACCTACATTCCTCCGGCAGCACTGGTTTCCCGAAAGCCATTCCAGCAACCCACCAAACCATCATTGGGTGGTGCCGAAGCTGTAAGCTACTCACACAATCTACGAAGCAAAGTGCTAACTGGTGTGGTATTAGCATGCGTTATCAACCATATCAACATTCTCACTGGCACTCCTCTTCGCATCGCTGCTGCATCCGTTCCACCGTTCCATACCACAGGTTTACTGATCCAACTACTGGTACCCATTGTATCTTTGAACAGCATATCTATTTACCCGCCCACATCCTTGCACGACCCATGGGCGGCCCCAATAACACCCAATTCCAAAAATATCCTAGAATGTGTGCTTAATACCAAATCGAACGCTTTGTGGGCCATGCCTTTCTTCCTGGAACAATGGGTGTTTTCTCCCGATGCTGTTGATATTCTGAAGAATCTCGAATATGTCGTATGTTACAAATCTATTTTTGCAAGGAACCACTCATGCCTAGTCTTGTTGTAGCTTTATACTGGCGGTCCACTCGCTTCTAAGATGGGGAATGCCCTGGTGGATGCAGGAATCAATATATTCCCTCACTACGGCTCTACAGAAATTGGGCCTGTCACCCCTTTATTCCGATATGGGGTCGAGAAAAAGCTTTGGGACTGGCTGCAATTTACTCCAAACGTCAAGACCAGATGGGTTGATCAAGGCGATAGAACATATGAATGCCAAATTTTGGTGCGTCTCACTTTTTATACACCCTCTCAATGTGAACTTTTCTTCACAGACAACTCCGCTGTACGGAGTGTCAGTAGAGAATCTCCCAGACGTCAAGGGTTATACTACTTCGGATTTATTTATCAAGCATCCGACGATTGAGGGTCTGTGGAAGATGTGCGACCGACAATTGTGTCATTCATGTTCTGAAACTGTCTGACATTATTCTTGCAGAACAGGAAGAAAGGATGACGTATTGATGCTCTCGTCTGGGGAGAAAGTAATACCAGCTCCTATGGAATGCATCATCGGGACCAATCCTCATGTCAATGGCGTCGTCATCTTCGGCCGTGGACGTAGCCAAGTTGGTGCCCTGATAGAGCCGCGGCCGGGACATGAAATCGACGTTAAAGACGAGGCACAGGTTTCGGCTTTCAGGAATCGAGTCTGGTAAGATCCTTGCAAAAGTGCATGCGGCTTTCATGACTCAAATGCTCTTGAAGGCCTGAGATAGAAGAAGCGAACAAGGCAGGCCCTGCCTTCAGCAGAATCTTTAAGGAAATGGTTCTTGTAACGTGCAAGGAGAAGCCTATGCCTCGAACTGGAAAAGGGACTATCACCAAGAAAGCCGCCAGCCAACTATACGAAGAGGAGATCAATTCCCTGTGAGAATATGCTTTCACCAGTGTCCGAAAATGATATTAATGAGCGTCAGATACGACAAGGTGGAGAGTGGCACAACAGGCATCGATATACCTTTGCCTACAAACTGGATTGTGGAGGACGTTGAGAGTTGGCTCATGCTGCATGCCGTCTCTGTGAATGCTGGCAAGGCGGTCGATCCTGACACAGACTTCTTTACCCAGGGCTTTGACAGGTGAGCCGATGGTCGATCGAGACCCATGCTTTGCCGACCTCCTACCCCCAGTCTCTCTGCGACATTCCTCAGAAGCCGAATCGTCAGTTCCCTCAGGTCGTCACCAGATCGCGACGTCCAGGCTTCAGCACCGCAAATTGACCAGAACATCGTCTTTTTAAGTCCTTCGATTCGCCAGCTCGCGAGAAGCGTTATCCATGTAGTATTGCATGGGAACAGTCCAACCTCGGTCGACGTCAAAGTTGAGATCGAGAGCATGATTGAGAAGTATTCAATGGGATTC